GACCATGTCTGGCTTGAACTAGTTGTGTTTCATATTTATTTATTTAATTTACTTATTTTGTCCAGATTTCCAGAAAAGTTAAAAAAATGGTTTCTGTTTTATTACTCAGTTTCCCTAATCTTAATCTCTTACACAGTTGTATTATGTGGTTATTAAAACTAGGAAACAAAGATTGACACTGATCCCGTTTGGTCAACTGAAGGCAATTTCAGTTTTACCAGTTTTCCCTCCTGAGGTTGCCTTTTCCCTAACTCAGTCTTTTTCATGATCTTCCTACTTTGGAGGAATAGCGATCAATTGTCTCATAGAACATGTCTCTGTTTGTGATTGTCAGAGGTGTTCTCATACTTGGACATGCCATGTATTAGTGAGGATAGCACCAAAGTGGTAATGTGTTCTTATGCTGTTTTATTACTGATGACCTTGACCTCAATCATTTGATCTATGTCATTTCTTTGCTGTAAAGTTACCTCTATCTTTCTTTGTCACTAATAAGTGCCTTAGGGAAGGAACTTTGAGCTAATGTACATCCCATTTCTTCTTAAATGTTAGCCATTCATTTTAGTGATTATCAATAAATCTCATCTAGAGCAGCCTGAGATTCTGGATCATTGTTTTTTTTTTTTTTTATCAGTACCAGGGATCAAACTCATGACTGCTTGCTTGCAAGGCAGGCGCTTATGCCACTGAGCTAAATCCCCAGCCCCCCGATACTTATTTTAGAGCATGAATTATAGCATATTTATTGTGTCGTTCAGGTTTTTCCATCTTTGGATTATGTCAGACTTCAGGTTGAGCTGCCCTTCCTTCAGCAAGTTCTCACCTTTATTGAGCTCTCTCTTACTCTCTGGAACCACAGGATGCTCCAGATTTAACCTGAATGTGTTCTCATTTTTCATAGATTGGTTCAGGGAGTAAGAACTACCGATCTGTGATAAGAGCACGTATGGAGGAGATGCACCAGATGGCAAGTAAGTGTGGTGTGTGCATGCGTGGGGCTGTGTGCTCAGGGGCCAAAGTAAGATTCTTTGGAAAGTCCGTTACTGGTTCTTTGATGCTGGTGATTAAAAATCAATATAATCATGAGAGCCACATGATTGCCTGTTCCTGACAGACTTTGTATAACAAGGTGATGTGTTTTATCAGAGGCCGCATTTCAGCTGAAAGTGGTAGATGTAACTTATGGGGTTGGCTTGTGAATCACTGATCTACAACAAAGAGATTGGCATTAAAGAATTTTGTTTTATTTGGTTCTGGGGATTGAACTCATGACCTCGAGCTTGCCAGTCAGGTGCTTATGCCACTGAGCTAAATCCCTGCCTGAGATAGGCATTAAAAAAAATCATCTAGAATCCAGATATAGTGATCCATAGTCTCAGCACCTGGGAGGTTGAGGCAGGAGGATTGCCATGAGGTAAAACTGGGCTACATAGTAAGTTCATGGTCAACTTGAACTATGCAGTGAGACCTCAAAGAAAGAAAGGAAAGAAACTATCACAACAGAATCATCCAGAGAGTGGCATGGCTGAGGGGAAAACAAACAAAAAACATGTAGAATGAAAATAATCATTGAAAGAATCAAAAGTACAAGCCACAGATTCTGGTAGATACTACAATAATGAGTCTGCAAGTTTCATTGCTCACTTAAAATGTTCTGTTTTGTCTTGCTAGTGCTGCAAAAGATCGAGCCAGTGGCCACCAATTCAGCAGCCAGGTACTGGGAGCTGCCTTTTGGTTTTTTGTGGTGGTTTTTTTTGGCATGCCTAAGTGTTTGGCACCTGCGTAACGTGGCTTTGAGTTACTGGCATAGCAGAAGTCTTTTCTTTCTAGGTAGACAGGCACCTACTTGAGGTGGCAGGGATCATCCTCAATTTCCTGGTGCCCTTTCAGTGTCTAACATTGACAAAGATCTGCTGGATAAATAATCATCTGAGTTTTCAGTTTTGGTGTTTTAGTCACAAAGACTCATGAATTCTCTCAGCTATAAGTAGTTATACTCTAATTAGAATGGGAAGATGACTCCTAGGATTTCTTCCCTTGCTGGAGTCTCGGTCCAAACTCAGTAGTGAATAAGGAATAAAACCTTGTCTCTGGTCAACAAAGCATTTCTTTTCCCTTCTGAACAGAGGATGATGGCACGTGGAGACAGAAGGATGGTGGGAAAGTGCGGCTAACATTTTATATTGGCCTTTCTTTTTTTTTTGAATCATTAATCAAACTTGAGACCTCGTGCTTGCCAGACAAGTACCATGCCGCTGAGCTCTATCCCCAGCCCTGTATTGGGCTTTGCTTTCTTTATGGTTTTCATTCAGTTCTGGGGATGAAACCCAGGGCCATGTGCATGCTAAGCACATGCTGTGCTATTCAGCTACAGCTCTAGCCTGGGCTTTGCCATTAATACATTGTTTCTAAACTTCAGTTGTTGCAATATAAACTTCATAATTATTGAAAATTCTCTGTCTGTCTCTCTCTCTCTCTCTGTCTCTCTCTCCCTTGTTCCCCTGTGCAGTTCAGGCTGACCTTGAACTCTCAGTGATCCTCCTTTCTCAGCCTCCTAAGTGCTGGGTTTATAGCATGCACAAGCATTCCTGGACACCCCTGGCGTCTCCTTTATTGTTTCTTTCTTTTTTCTTTTTTCCAGTGTGGTCTTTGAGATAAGTTGTCACTCCAGTGGAAGCTGGCCTCAAATTTGTAATGACCCTCCTGCCTCAGCCGCTGAGTGCAGGAGTTACAGGCATGCACCACCATACTCAACTTCCTTTTTTTTCTGAAGTATCCTCCTTTTTCCCTATTGTCTTCCTAAATTATAATTCATGAAACTCATTAGTACATGTTCTATATTTCTAATGCACATTAAAAATGAAATCAGAACCATTAAAATAATGGTGGTCTACAGATCAACATGTGAAATGCTCTCACTGCCCTGTGGGAAATTCTCTCAGAGGGAGGCCAGGAACTGGTGGTTTAGTGAATGGCCGTCATGTGATTTACGTCTTGATGTATTCATGTGCTCTAAGAACACATCTTAGTATTTTTTGTTAAAACCTGCTTTTGTTTCTCCCATAGGTCTCCATTTTGTCAGCTATGGAGCTAATTTGGAACCTGTGTAAGATCCTTTTTATTGAAGTACTTCCGGGTAAGCCTAGGATAATCTGGTCATAACATGTCTCTACTGTTTCTTTGTATTTCCTGTGCCAACAATGTTGTCTCCAGTGCTTTTCTTGTTTTTTTCTTTCTTTGTGTTTTCCCCCCTTGTCTTGGTTTTTTTGAGACAGGGTTTTACTATGCAGTTCAGACTGGACTTGAACTCACTTTGTGGCCTAGGCTGGTCTCAAACCTGCACTGATCCCACCCGCCCTCAGCCTTTAAGGTGCTGGGACTGTGGTTGTGTATCACTGCGCCCAACCTTCTAGTTCTTTTCCACATACTGTCTGAAATCATTACAAAACACCCAAAGAAATGTGACATTTTGTTAGAGACTGTAAAAAGAATCATACAGATGTTTCCTAGGAACCTAAACATTAAGGAGATGAACTTTTTTTAAAGATGAACTTTGAAAAGCAGTGAGAAATCAAGTTTCATCTAGTTTTTCAAAGTGGTAGTATTGATATTATAGAGCAGCTAAGGATTGCCCGGGATTGCCTTTGCTATTGTAAGTCTCTTCTGGTTTCACATGAATTTTATATTTGTTTTTGTTGTGAGATATACTATTGGAATTTTGATTGGGATTGCATTGAACCTGTATAACAGTGTTGAGCGTATGGCCATTTTCACTATATTAGTCCTTCTTACCGAAGAACACAATATATCTCTCCATTTTGTAATATCCTCTTTAGTCTCCTTTCTCAGAGTACTGTTGTTTTCCATGTTGAGGTATTTTACATCTTTTTTAAGAGTAATTCCTAGGTCTTTCATGTTTTGGATGCTATTGTAAAAGGTATTGTTTCCCTGATTTCTCTTGGTGAGGTTTTATTCATATACCAAGAAGGCTATTGATTTTTGAGTGTTGACTTTGTAACCAGCTGTGTTACTGAATTTGCTTATTAAATCTAGTAGTCTTTTGGTGGATTTTTGGGGTCTTCAAAGTACAGTATTGAAAAGAGTCTGGTGTATCAGTTCTGCTGATCCCCAACTTTTGGCTGTTTCTCATGTCCAAATACAAATAACCTAAAACTTTGTAAGAATTAGAACTCCTTATTGGTTCTTAACCTACTCTGCTTTTCACACCCAGGTTACCAAAATGCTGAAAGATGCTCTGTCCCTGGAAGGCATACCACACAGAAACTTGGGAAGAATTTGCACAGTTCCTTGTTTTAACATGAACATGAGTAGTAAAGACTAGCATACTACAAAGATGACATATGGTCTCTTATAATTACCATGAAATATGAAGCAGTTTGGCCCAGTTCAGGCTTAATTTTTTGCTTTATGCTTCACTTACTTAAGAGACTCAGCTTTCCCCTTTCATTGTATTTCATCTACCATTCATAACTGCACTTTAGCAAAATACCTCTACCTAAGGATTTTCTCATGAAAGAATGCAGTTTAGTGTGCGGTGAGCGACTGTAACACTTGATGAAGCATGTAGGAATGTAGTAGGTTTAAAATTCTAGTCCAAATTTTCCTGTAGCTTGAAAATAATCCTAAAATATCATTTCTTTTTTTGATTTTTTTTTTGATTTTTTTTTTTTTATTTAAGGAGAAAAGAAAAAAAAAACAGTGAAGGGGTACAAGTTATACAGATTTACAGAAGAAAAAAATGCGCAGTAGGAAATCACTAGTTAATGGATTACATATTGCCATCTTAGAAATAATTGTTCAAGTCACAAAATTAAAGCTTGTAGAGTGGACATTCCAACAATGATACTGCAAACAGTTCTGTTCAATGATCCAATAAAACTCTGTGATATCATTTTCTATCTTATACACTTAAATATACATGCAGTTATATAGTTTAGAGCACTTTCTTTTCCTCTCTTTTGTACAATGACTATTACACATTTTGGGTTTCATTGCTCCCACGGTTCGTATTGCTTTTTTGGAAGAGAGTAAAACCAAATGTGACATAACAGAACAGAATCGGTCAAGTCAAAAGGGTGGACATAATAGATAATATAAAAACATAATACAAGGTGATCAACAATGGTTACCATAATGCCTCCCGCTATCTCTAATAGAATTGCCTATATCATTAGTTGTAATACAATTGAACAAAACAGTAAAGAACAAAACCGACAAAACCAAAACATTGGAGACATTGTAGGTCTTCAAAAGTAGATAAAAGTCAACGAGAATGGGCGTTATAATGAATCTCATTATCTTCTCAGCTGACGCCTAAACTTTCGAACCTGATACTATCCAGCAAAACAGAATAGAGGAACCTCAGTCAAAAACAAGATGGTGAGAATAATACAAGGCTTCAAATCGAGATAATAGAAAGTCAAAGTGGGTTACTATATTATATCCTGCTATTTTTTTCCCTTTAATTAAATGGATAAAAATAAAAAAGTAAATAATGGAGATTGAGAAAAAAGAGGGCATAACAGCGAAACAGCACAGATCAAAACATAACCATTTAAGCAGAATAGTATTTCACCACCAGATAATTCCGACCCAAAAGTAGTTACCATATAGACTGTTTCCTTGAAGTCCTTGAGTACAACTTCATATACTGTAGCATTAAGTATATCAAAACAATGTAAAACCATTTAAGAGAATGACAGCATTATAGAGTATTTAGAATTGACTTAACAGAAAATGAACAATGGTTTCTGTATATTCTCCTTGTCTTTAAAAGGTTTTTGCTTATACTATCGTACATAATAAAATTCAATAAGATACAACCTGTTTAGACCATTGGAGACAGAAGAACAAAAGCTAGATGAGACTTCAAAACAAGATAGTACTAAATCAGTATTACCTATTAAGATGTCATTTTCTCCAAAATAGCTGTTCCTATCATCCAATCTTCTCTGCCTCATTTCTGTTGAGCTCTTTTTCTGTCAGTAGCTGTCAGTTTGTCTTCTTCATTTTGTTCTCTGCTCCATTCGTTGTGGCCTCCCCGCCACTATTTCTGGGTTCTTTGTATTTTTCTTTTTTTAGAATATCCTGCAATACTTTCTGTAGAGTTGAATTGGTGGTTGCAAATTCCCCCAGTTCCTCTTTATCCTGGAAGCACCTCGTTTTTCCATCAATTTCCAGGGACAGTTGTGCAGGATATCTCAATCTTGGCTGGAGATTATTATCTTTCAAAGCTTGAATTATTTCCCCCCACGCTCTTCATGATTTGATGGTTTGTGCAGAGAAATCTGCTGTAATTCTGATGGGTGTTCCCTTGTAAGTGGTCTGTTTCTTGTCTCTGACAGCTTTTAATATTCTGTTCTTGTATTGAATTTCTGGAATTTTTATTATTATATGCCTGGGTGTTTCTCTGTTAGGGTTGTAGGTAGCTGGGGTCCTGTATGCCTCATACATCTGAGTATCTTTACCTTTTGCTAAATTAGGAAAATTCTCCTGGATTATTTCTGTGAGTAGCTTTTGTAGTTCACTTGTTTGTGTCCCTACTTCTTCTTTTATGTTCTTAATCCTTAAGTTATGGCTCCTCTTATCATCTTCTTGTCCTTGTATTATTGCTGTTTGTTTCTTTGTTATTTTTAAGAAGTTTTTCATTTCATTCTCCCATATTACAAGTCTGCCCTCCAGTTCAGATAGTCTGTCCTTAGTTTCTTTCAAGCTGTTATGCCAGTCTTGGATAGACTTCTTAATTTCTTGATAGTCCCTTTGAACCTGCTTCACATACTCAATGCTTTCTCTGTTTTCTCCATCAAGCAATTCTCCCCTCTTTTTCTGTTCTTCCATTCCACCATCTGTTTTTTCCTGGGTGGTGCTTAGCATTTCTCTAACTATTCTGCATACTTCTAGCTTCAGGTCGTTGATAACTTCATTCCTGAATTGGTCTATGAGGCTCTCTATATGGCGCTTAATGTATATTGGTGCGGTGTCCACTATTGCCTGTTTCTCAGAATTGGGGGCCGAGGAGCCTTTCTTGTTGCTTCCCTTCCCCATATTTTCTGTTCCTTATAAAATGCAAGCTTACATAGGAGGCCCGGCTTCCCTGCCTGTCAGCCACAGCCTGATCAAATTGCGCTGGCTAGGTGTTCCCGCCCACCGCTGCGCACCAGGGAGTTGCGGAGGAGGCAGCCTACGCGGGAGTCACTCGCTCCTCCGGGCTACCGTCAGGCTCTGGGATCTGGGTTAGGCCAGCCTACTGAGTCTGCCCGCAGCGTCACGCAGGCCAGGCGCTTTTCACCAATCCAGTCTGAGAGGGGAATGTGTGGCTGGAGTCGCCACCGCGCCCTGCTCTTACAGGGCTGCCCGAGCCCAGAAAGTCCTCCGCTGGAGTCAAACTGTGGTAGGGGGTCAGTTTCTCTCACTCACCTCGCCACCAGTCAGTTTTCGTGTACGCCTCCTTGTCCGTCCTGTTTTCGACTCCGTTCACAGATTCCTGTTCCCAGAGCTTCTGCGCGTCTCTCCTTGCCGAGCCGCTGTGGAGGCAGCCAGCCGCCGGGCGGCGGGAAACCCAAATCGCGGTTTCCAATGGCGCGGGGTCGAGCCTCCACACCGAGTCTTTTCTGTTCCTATTTTAGCGCCAGGACTGTATTCTAAGTTGGTTTCTCTCAGCCCAGTTCATTCCTGAGTCAGCAGAGCATATCTCTACCGGTTCATGTCTCCTTAGTCTGCATCATTCCTGGCCTCTGAGCCGAGCCTTTCAGAGAGCCTCCGGTAGTTGCTGTTGTCTGTCCACCATGTTCTCCCGGAAGTCCCCTTCCCTAAAATATCATTTCAGCAAATTAGACTATCATGTCATCTGCAAATAACAATAGCTTAACTTCTTCCTTTCCTGTCTTTATTCCTTTTCTTTCTCTTTTCTAATTGATCTGGCTAATGTTTCCAGCACTATGTTGAATAAGAGTGGAGACACTGGACATTCTTGTCTTCTTCCTAATTTTAGAGAGACAGATTTAAGCTTTTTCCATGTAGTATGATGTTGGCTGTTGGTTTGTCATAGATGGCTTTAATCAGATTGAGATAAAGACCATCTATTCTGATTTTATAGAGGGTTTTATCATGCATGGGTGCTGGACTTTGTCAAAAGCTTTCTCTGCATCTATTAAGATGATCATATGGTCTTTGTCCTTGGCTCTTTTTTTTTTTTTTTTTTTTTTTCCTTTTTCCTTTTTATCGGTACCAGGGATTGAACTCATGACTGCCTGCTGGCAAGGCAGGCACGTCCTTGGCTCTATTAACATGGTATATTACATTTATAGATTTACATGTGTTGAACCATCTCTGCATACTTGGGACGAATCCTACTTGATCATGGTGTACAGTCTTTTTGATAATTTGCTGCAGTCTGTTCGCCAGTATTTCATTGAGAATTTTTGCCTCAATGTTCATTAGAGAGATTGGCCTGCAATTCTGTTTCTTAGTTGGGCCCTTGTCTGGTTTTGGTATCAGGATAATGCTTGCTTCCAAGAATGTATTTGGAAGTGTTGCCTCCTTTTCAATTTCGTGAAAGAGTGGACTTGATATTTAGCTCCATGGCATATGCACCTGCCTGGCAAGTGCGAGGTCATGAGTTGCATCCCTGGCGCTCGCACACACTCACACACACACACAAATCGAAACCAAACAACCAGTTCAGTTTCATTAAAGAGTTTCAGAAGTAGTTCTGTTAGGTCTTCACTAAATTTCATGTATAATTCAGTAGTGAATCCTTCAGGTCCTTGGCTTTTCTTTGTTGATAGATTTTTAATTACATCTTCAATTTCTTTCTTTCTTTCTTTCTTTTTTTTTTTTTTTTTGGTACCAGGGGTCAAGCTCATGACTGAGTGCTTCCAGGGCAGGCACTTATGCCACTGAGCTGAATCCCCAGCACATACATCTTCTGTTTCATTTATCGATATTGTGTTACTTATGATTTTTATAACTTCTTAATTCAGCTTTGGTAATTCATATGTGTCTTAGTTACTTTTTACTCGTCGCTGAGACAAAATACCTGAAGCCCAAAGCTGGGAAAGGAAAGGTTTATTTCTTAGTTTTTGGAGGTTGCAGTCTACATTCAATTGGCTCCTAGGCAGGCTGCATGGCTGGGCCGCATGCAGTTCATGGTGGCTGTAAACAGCAAACAGGAACCGGCAAAGAGCAAGACACACCTTCTTCCTGCCATTACATCACATCCTGGCTCCACCCCTATGTGGGTGGAGCACTGACACCATCAATCCAAGCACTTTACAATGAGCCATCACACATAAACAATGCAAACTCATGAGGCCTGGGGGCCATAGACATAAACCATGACAATATGTATTAGGAATCTGTCCATTTCTTCTGAATTTTCCATTTATTAGAATACAAGTTTGCAAAGTAGGTCAAGATGATTTTCTGGATTTCTACAGGGTCTGTTGTGATTTCACCCTTGTTGTTTCTTTTCTTTCCTTTTTCTGATAAGATTGGCTAATAGTTTGTCAATTTTATTTAATCTTTCAAAGAACCAAATCTTTGATTCATTGATTCTTTGTATTGCTTTTTAGCCTCCAGTGTGTTAATTTGTGCTATGATCTTCATAATTTCCTTATGAGCTTTTGGTTTAACCTGTTCTTCTTTTTCTAGAAGTTTGAGGTTCAACATAAAGTTGTTAATATGTGCTTGGTCTGTTTTCCTGACATGGGTACTTACTACTATAAATTTCCCTCTTAAGACTTCATTGTGTCCCACAAGTTTGGTATGTATATTGTCATTATCATTCAGTAGGTTGATATTTCATTTCCATGTGTTTACCCATATTTATAGCAACAGTTTATAATAGCCAGATCTTGGAAACAACCTACAGAAGATTCAGGTGAATGACCTGTTTTCTTCTGTCTCACTGTCCCCTGGATTTGTCCTGGGTGGGCTGGAAGGCTGGGATTGCATTTTGCCTCTGTGTCTTGTCATTTTCTATTTTTTAAATTTTAATTTGTAATTTTCTTCTGTTAGATAGCTTTATTGCTGGTATTGGGGATTGTCTAGGAAACATCTATTCCTCTGAGATGCCTTCTAGGTATAGCTGGCTGTTGGTCTTTGTGTCTGTCCCAAGGTCCTACCTTCCCACTTTATCAGGGATCATGAGTTACCATCTGTATGGCTTATACCCCAGTCCTTTAGTTCTGGACTGTGGAAATGATTATGACACCAAATAATCACAATCATCATGCTGGGGATTTAGCTCAGTGGTATAAGTACCTGGCTGGGAAGCAAGAGGCTGTGAGTTCAGTTTCTAGTACTAAAAAAATAATAATAATAAATTTTAAAACATCGCAATCATCATACAAGTGTGAACCACTGATTACAATGAATATGGCATCCTGGCTAAAGTAGTACAATTAGCAGTAACATCATCAAGCACAGCCTAGAAATCAACAGTCTGTGGTAACTGCTAATTCGGTGTCTAACCCTGGGAGCAAGATCTACAGTTAAATAACTACATCCAACACAAACCAGGGACTTGTACACAGTGAGTTTCCCCATGAAAGAGTGATTTTACCCTGTGGGGAAGGGAACTTTAGAGGGACAAGGGTCCTGACAGAGCAATAGCTGAAGAGAGATATACTATAAGCAAGGCTGAAGGACAAAGGATGACCCACCCAAACTTTGGGAGCTAGAGAAGGGAACAGGAGAGAAAGAACGAAGACAGGACAGAGAAAACAAACCTAGCAATAAAGTCCAAACCTAAACCACCACCTTCAAAACAAAATTCTCCTGGTGGCTCCAGTTCTGTGTTAGTTCACTCATCGGAGCTGGAATCTATACTGAGCAACCACACCAAGTCTATAGTAGGATTTCTGCGGGATGCAGGGTTGATCTTGGCCACGCCACTCACACGTCCCTCCGCTGGCCAGAGCTGCCTGCCTGCTTGGGCCACTGGTCACAGAGCAGACGGTTTCTTCCTGTCACAGCCAGGGTTAAGACTGGCTTTTGGCCTCCAGTGGAACTGAGTCTGGATGGTCCCGGCTCCTACTTCTCCACAGACTTCAGCCCAGTCTACTGTCCAACTGCCAGCTGTCTACTGTGACTGGATGACCCTTCCCTCTTTCACTCAGGAACCTTGGAGCTGCTTTGCTGCTGGAGTTCAAGCCCCAAGCCCTTGAAAATAAAATGGCAGTCCCACCCATCTGTGCTGCTGCTCCATAGGACTCCTCTGCCAGGCAGAGTGTTTTTTTTCAGGTCACTCACTAACAGCTGATTCGGGGGATGGGGTGCTCAGAAACATTCTTGTGTTCTCTCTTTGTCTCAGATGCAACAAGACTCTCTTGGTCCAGGTCAGGTCTGTCTCCCAGTGGGGAGCAGTTGCTTTATTGATAGTGAGTTCTGGCACTGCACGGCAGTGGTTACACAAAATGTACTTCGTGGAAAGGAGTTGTGGGTCAGGCACAGTTGAGAACCCCAGCAGCAGGTTAACTGAGAAATGGGGAAACCTACTCCCACTTGCCCTTCTCCTGTCTTGCCATGGTCACCACATGGTTACCACTGCTGAGGCTCATATGCTCAGGCTCATTTGCTGAGCCACTGACCAGGTCAAGGAAGCCATATCTTTGAGGACAAAGTAAAAGGGATTTATTCAATGTTAGCCACTGTAAATTTGCTTCCTAAGGGAGATGGAAAGAAGAGGTTTAATGTGAAGTTTATTTGCCTCAGGTCAGCAGCTCACCTTCACAGATGGTCAAGGGTCTTTTGTAGTAAGGAGCAGAAGATAATGCAGATCTTTACACTACCCTTGTTCTATCACTTCCTGCTGTCTTCAGTTCATCCTCCTCTTTCTTGTGGAAAACAAACCAAGCTCCTGGCCTCCTGGGGCTGGCATCTGCATATTCTGTCACTTCTTGAGGCTGAAGAGAGGAGAGGATGTTGCTGGGTGTTCAGCAGGAGGGAGTTTGGAGAAGCTGCTTATGTCTAAAGGAGAAAGGATAAGCGCCTGACACAGTTGGGATGCTTGCTTGTGATGGACCACTAGAAGGCAGAAGCGGCCCACATAGGAAATGGAGCTCCTCAAGGGGTTCTTCCCTGCTTAGGATTCTGACCTCTGCAATATGTAATTTTACAGCCATTGTTAAATTCATCTTGTTTTGACAGCCTATATTTTTACTATTACAGGTTTTTTGTTGTTCTAGTTGTTGTTTGTATGTCTCTTATTTTTTGTTTTACTTTTCTGTTTGTTTCTTTCTCTTAAAAAGAAAGAAAAAAAAAAAAAACAATTCCCTCCTCTAGGATTCCCAGAATAAAAACTCCATTTGTGGGACTAGGGGTTTAGCTCAGCAGCATAACAAGCGCCTGCCCTGCAAGCACGCAGTCGTGAGTTCGATTCCTGGTACCAATTTAAAAAAAAAAAACTCCATTTGGGCTCAGTAGAACTGCGATTTGGTCCATGGTCTCAGTTCTGATTCCATAGCATGTTGGTCTCAATACCATTCCATGTCACTGTACTCTCAGATTTTTTTAAGATGTCTTAAGCTAGGTATAGTGGAATACATCTGTAATCTCATCACTCAAGATGCTGAGGCAGAGGAACACTGCAAGTTTGAGGCCAGCATGACCTGCATAGTAAATTCAAGCCCAGGCTAGACTACATAGTGAGATTCTGTTTCAAGAAAAAAAAAATCAATAAAAGCACCTGCCTAGCAAGCACAAGGTCCTGAGTTCCATCTCTGGTACAAAAATGAAAAAAAAAGTCCTGTCTAGGCTGTAGTCATAGCTCAGGTCCGTTACCCAAGGGTTGATTTGTTTTGTTTCAGTTTAGTTCTGAGACATGATCTCATTATGTAGTTTTGACTGGCCTTGAACTCATGGCAATCCTCCTGCCTCAGCCTCTGGAGTACTGGGATTACAGGCATGTAATCCTGGCACCACCTCTCTCCAACCCAACCACCTTTGCCCGAAACCCACAATTATAAAACAGAGCCATTTCCAGGATCAATGCTGCAGCATTACAGACTGAGCTAATCTTTTTATATACTGGAGGTTGGAAAGAGAAGTTTCATGGGGGCAGAGGCCACGCAGGGAAGCTTCCATGCAATGCTGCATTGAAAGCCTCCCATGGAGCCATTGCTGACACTGACCAGACCCTGCCAGACCACGGGTTGGGCATGGCATGCTGAGTCCCAGATGCAGGGATCATTTTCCCTCCACTGCATTCCTGTGGAGTTAGCTACACAGAGGTTTAGCAACTCATAACCCAAAGTCATAGACCTGAAAGGAGGCACAGAAAGGATTTAAATTCAGGCTTGACACAAACCCATGGTCTTAGCTACTACTCATAGAGTAGTCACTTTAAGGGAATTGTCTTTCTTTTTTCTTTAGTTCAAGGTGGATGTTGGTAGCAGAATGTAGGTCCTTTGGCATAGTCTCCTGGAAATAAAGCTGGTAGCTCTTCAAGAGGAGGCTAAGCCCACGTGGTAATCCAGAAAGGAGTTTCCCACCCCTTCACCCCATTATATTGAACATTTACATTATATGAAGATGTCACTGATAGTTTTTAAAGGGTAAGTGGATCAAGGCCAGTGACATGAATTGAGGAGCAGGTGACATGTAGCAATCCAGTGACACCATTCATTACACTCAGAGAAGCGCACTCAGAGGAGTATGTCAAAAGCTCTCTGCCCTCAATAGCATCCTGAACAAGTGTGTAGACTGGGATGCAGGCCCAAGGAGTGCATCTGATGTCCCCAGGTATTAGAGCAAGGTCAGTCATCCTCTAGAGCAGGTCACCCTCTCGGATGCTCCATGGGAGGGTGTGATTGTGCTCCTTCCCTTGGCTTGGGATCAGCCCACCGAGATCGTGCAATTTACTCTCCAGATGAGGCACCTTAAGGAGGGGCCTTTCCTCCAGGTTTCACAGAAACCAATCACTCTTGAGTTGCTGCTAACCATCTCTTCTCTTGCCCATTTTACCCTCCATGGATCCACATCTGGCTGGATATAGGCACTGACTAAAGTCCAGGCTCTTGTGTGAGGACAAAATTGCAAGAGGCCAGTTAGATCTGCACAGGTCCAGGTGGCCCATACTGTGACTGAGCACGGCCTGTCAGCCACCAACTAGGAGAAAGTGTCTACAGCAAGAAAGCCAGAATGGCCTGCATTGTTGCCAGGGACAAATGCACACTCCGAGGCCAAGAGCTGCTTGATGCAGGGCAGAGCATCCTCAGGATGATGAGGCAGGGCCAAGACCGACTTTTCCCAGGAGGCACTGAAGTTGCCAGGGACAGCAGCCTTTTTATCACTTTGAAAAAACAGCATGGTGCAGTGGCATTTCCTACAATCCTAGTGTCTTACCAGCTTTTCACTTCTGTGACCAAAACCAGAGGAAATCAACCAAAAGGAAGAAAGGTTTGCTTTTGCTCTCAGTCCTTTGCTGTGGGCCTGAAGGGATATAGTCCTCAAGGTCATGACCTGTGCTCTGCTCCCTTCAGTGAGGACCTGCCTCCTGTTCCACCACTGCTCAATAGCGTCAGCACATTCTGACCTCATCAACGTGCTCATCCACTGAGGGAGTTAGAGCCCTTGTGATTGAGTCACCTCTCTAGCTCTGAACACTGCTGCACTGTGGAAAAGGCATCTCCACATGAGTCTTTGGGGATACTTCATATTGAAACCATAAGAGACTGCAGCAGGAAGCTCACTTATCCAGGAGTTTGAGATGAGCCTGGGTAATACCGCAAAACATGTTCTCAAGAAAAAAAAATTTTTTTAGCCTGGTGTGGTGGTGTACACTGAAATCCTAGCATTTAGGAGGCCGAGGCGGGAGGATAACTGTCAATTCAAGATCAGCCTGGGCTACATAGTGAACTCAAAGCCAGCCTGAATTGTATAGCGACACCCTGTCTCAAAAAAAAAAAAAAAAAAAAAAAACAGAACAGCATGGCATACAGAAAAGTATCCAAATCACCAATGTACACCTGAATGATTTTTATAGAAATAATCATGCTTAAGTATTCAGGAACCAGATCAAGATATGGGACATTTCCTAAACCCCACCACCCCTCCTGCCCCTTTCTAGCTGCTATCACCTCCTCCTTTCTCCTCACCCTTCCCACTCTCCCACGCCCAGTTCCATCCCCAGCATTGATACTATCTTTGCAGGTCATTTCCAGGCAGAGGCTATGTTCTTTTTACGACAGCTGCATAGTGGGGTCACCTGAGGAGTACCTGCCCCCTGAATTACCAGATGGAACAGAGGTAGCCAACAAGGTGATGTCTTGTTTACCACTTGCCAGCCGTGTGACCTCAGATGAGTTCCTTCTGCCAACACAAGCCTCTCCTGCGGAAATGAGAGCAGGACCACAGACCCTGCAGAACAGAGGCCAAGATCCAGAGCACAGGGCCCAGCCATAGGATCTCCACGTATGGCAGCTACCATTGTCATTTGTATTCCAAGTAAGTACCCTGAGGAAGACTAAAGTCCTCCCTTCTTTCCTTAGCCCCAGTGTGGGGGAGGGAAGAGTGGGCTTAGTGTGTGAGCATGGGAGTCAGGCAAGGATCATGAGAGGCAGCAGGGGAGAGAGAATTTCAGGGGCCGCAGAGACACCAAGGGGAAGTGCACAGCTCCTGGACCAGCGGCTGTGGAGGACCTTGGGCAGGCCTGGCTTGGGCAAAGCCAGTTGCCCCTCACAAGAATAGAAGCTACCTGGCCGCAGGCTCTGATGCTGAGTGGCTTAGGGAGAAAGAAGACACGTTAGCTGAGCATCCACTGGGCTGCAGAGCCAGGCACTTCCTTCTTGCTTTAAGTCTGTGAAGAGGGAGAGAGCAGGCTCCTTCTTCCTTTTTCTTTTCTCTTTTTTAAGTTTGCAATTTTTTCAGGACTGGAGATTGAACCCAGCGCCTAGCTCATGCTGCCCATGCACTTTGCCACTAAGCTATATTCCCAGCCCTTTTAATGTTTGAGACAGGGTCTTACTAAGTGACCCTAGCTGGCCTCCAACTTTTGGTCCTCCTGCCTCAGCCCTAGCCCCCTGAGTAGCTGGGATTCCAGGTGCTCAGCCCCTGCCTGAAAAGGTCGAAGCATCCCTTCAGCAGCCTGAGGCTTGGAAGCCGCAACCCCTGCTCTACTCACAGGCCCTGGGGGCTGTGTGAGACGGTGTCCTGCTCTGTAGGCTGCCTGTGCACCCTAGTGATGCAAGGGACACTTTAATCACTCAGTGCTCTTCTCTAGTTTTTCCAAAGCGAAAACTAGGTTTTAAGCTGTTGATTACTTTATCATTTATTGTACTTGTTTTGAGGCATAGTATTTACTGCAGAACACAGATAAATAAATCGCTCTAAGTCTCACCCAGTGGAGGTAACCACTGTCAGTGCTTCTGCATTTATTGGTACCATCTACAATACTTGTGTGTGTGTGTAGAAACTGACCAAAAAAGAGTCACAGAGCACACACCCTTAGATACTCCACTTTTGTTCACTGTGTAGTATTGGATGGTAGCCATCTGTCAGTGTTATTCAACACTGATCTAACAACAGTGGCTCTGCCTTACAATCCCCTATGGAAGCTTTAAAAATATTGATACCTGGGTCCACCCTAGAATCACATTTAGTTGATGTTGGTGGAGGCTGTGGTTGGGTTTTTGAAGAAAGTTCCCAGGCAGTTACACTGAGCAACTGAGCTTGACAGCTCAGTGCTTTTGCGACATTTTCTCATGAGGAGTCATGTGCCATTTGCTGCAGGGAGACAGGATAACTGGATCACTTCTTTCAGGAAATTTAGATTTATTCTAACTTTTATGTTATTATCAAAGAAGTAGTAGCAGCTTTTCTGTAAAGATTTGTTAGTGCTGTATACATTTTAGCCTTTACAAGCTAGAAGGTCTCTGCCACAAATGTTTAATTCGATCAGTGTGGCACAAAGGCAGCCGGGCAATGCATAAATGAATGAGCCCAGCTGTGCTGCAGTAAAACTTTATTTCCAGCAATCAGTGGTAGCTCGATCTGGCCTCTCCGCCTGAGTTAGCTGACCCTTGTCACAGACAATGGGAAATGAGTCTCCCGAAAAGACAAACCTGCTAGTATGAAATGAGTATTTTTTTGTAACTGGAGTTTTATACTGTTTATTCTCAGAAGTGGGATTGTTATCATTGTAATTATGTATTTCCTGTGTCATGGAAAATAAGCTTAACTTGCTTCATACTTAATTGAAAGCATGATCCATGATATTCAGTTTATTATGGGGGAGGTGCACTGAGAGGCTGTGAGTCAAACACAGGGCCTCAGCCTCCTGAACCACACTCCTAGCCCTTCTAGGAGAGGGATATAATCCATAACCTGTCAGAGAGGGGCCATCAGACCTGCTTCCTGTCATTAGAATCTTATGTGCTACCACCTATTTTAACCACAAGCTACTGGTTTACCTTTAATCTCTCTGATCTACATCAGATTTTGGAGAATGATGTGGACAAAAATAAGGACTTATTTCCTGTCCTCACCACAAAGCCTATCTGTCTCAAATTGTGTCCCCCTAGGTTCCTGGAATTTAATCCCTCCCTCTCTCTCCACCAACTGCAGTCATGTGCATCAAACTATGTTGTCCAGGGAGGACTGTAGAGTGCCCAGGGAAACTTCGAGCATCAGCACCCTTCCAGGGAGCAGCAGCACAGGCACCAAGATGACCTTTCATCTTCCACCTTCACCACTAGTGTAAGCCAGACACAGCGGGGTCGGCAGGCACTTGGCAGCATGTCAGGCTGAGCTCAGGTTGCTAAATTTCATCTCCTAAGAGGTGTGTGTGGTAGGCTGATGACACCTACCGGAAATGAAAGGAGATTTTGGGCATTGCCACTAGGACTAGACATAGACAGTTTCTTTTTCATTAACATCTGAACAGGAAGCAGTTACATCGAGGGAAACAGCAGAGGTGACAAAAGCCTGTCTGATGCAAGAAGTACAAGTTTACAAGGGGAAAACATTTTATGATCACAGGAAGGCTGATGATTAGAATTTAAAAGAATTATAGAGAAAACAGATTTTTTTTTTTCTTTTTTTGGTACCAGGGATTGAACTCAACCTCAGGCTTGCCAGGCAGGCACTTAAGGTGCTGAGCTAAATTCCCAGCCCAAGAAAATAGTTTCCAAGCTGCCTCTGGGTAGCTGTCATTGCACCAGAAATGGGCGTGGCTCCAGTGACAGATGCATTAAAAGTTTTTTGCCCCTGGTCTGGGCAGCAATCTGGCAGGATTTGCTAACATGTTTAGTGTTGGATGGACTCCAGAACTTGGGTCTGCTTGACATGTTTGAGTTTTTAGACCCCATTGTCCTTCCCCTTGGACATGGCTGTAGAATATACTGATGTTTTGTTTGGTATAAAATGTTTTACCAAATGTAGTGGTTTTGAGGTCAAAGGGTTTTTTAGAGGTGTCAGGTTTTTGTTGTTTTTAAATTTTTAATGATGCGACTGAAAGCATCTAAAACTGAAGCTTGTGGAAGAACCACTTGTTCCTGCGTATCTTGTATCTCTCCTTGAACTTTTTTTCCACCCGCAAGCTATATGCTTGAGGGCCAGGCCTCTGTTGACCAGTCTTATCCAAGGGGATGTCCACAGAGTATCTTGTGGGCATGAGGTGATTGTAGTTGTAAACCTTCATGAAGGACTTAATCTTTCCTCTTGGTGATTTTCTTGTTCATGGCAGCTGTCACTGTGGGGATAGCAGTCAATTCCAGCCCCCAGGGCATGGCTGTAGGGATGATCAGAGGCACTCTTGTCAATGTTCTTCACAGTGATGGCTTTGCATGTGGTGTAGCATCTGGCCAGGACCAGTACCACTTTCCCCAGTTCCATGAACTTGCCCATTTTGACAGCATCAAGCCAGGGATACCAGCTCTTTTTGTTTTTTTTTTTTTTCATACCAGCAATCAAACTCAGGATCTTGCATTGCCAGGCAGGCACTGTGCCACAGAGCTATGTCCCTGGCCCCTGCTTTTGTTTTTGAGACAGGGTCTCACTGTGTAGTTCAGGCTGGCCTTGAAGTCACTGGGTAGCCCAGGCTGGCCTCAAACTCACAGCAGTCCTCTTGTCTCAGCCTTCCAAGTGCAAGTACTGGGATTACAGGCATGCACCAGCACTAAGAGTTGTCAGGTTTCTTAAACTTGTCATCAGAATTCACATTATTCTCCACTTTGAAAACATTTTAACTCCCATTGCACCAACTGTGCATTGTAATAGTGTATTACCATGTACCTAAATAGTTTTTGTAACAGAGTAAATAATCCAGTCATGATAATTAACAATGCAAAATTTTAGTGTACTATAAGACATACTAAAACATGATGTATGACTTTTGAGGGGGTTTTTTCCTGTCGTTTTGAGACACACACAATGCAGTTCATACTGGCCTTCAATTCACCTTGTAGCCCAGACTGGCCTCAAATGTGCATCGATCCTCCTGCCTTAGCTTTTTGAGTGCAGGGTAGGCTTATGCCACCAGGTCTTATTTGTATGTCTTTGGTAACTGTTATTCGTTGGATGCATTATAATCCTCTGGGAGGTTGAGGCATGAGACTAACAAGTTTGAGCTTAGTGATTTAGCAAGACTGTGTTTCAAACAAATAAAAACTTTTTTAAAAAGGACTAGGATGTAGCTCTGTGTGGAAGTCCTGGGTTCAATTCCCAGTATGTTGTTCCATATTATTTTAGGCTACGAATGATTTCTCAAGCTTATTTTGTTTCACATAAGTCTAATGTAATGCTGTGTATTTAGCAGGTCCATAATAAACACTGACTTGCCAAATGAAACTTTGTGACAGAGTCTCCCTGTGCAGTTCAGGCTGGCCTTGAACTTAATACATAGCTCAGGCTGGCCTCAGATTTGCAGCAAACCCCCGCCTTGGCTTCCAGAGCACTGGGATTACAGGCGTGCATCACCACACCTAGCTAAACTTGGTCTCGGATTCTGAGTATAACCACAGTAATAAACTATGGGTAAAATCTGAGGTGGCTTTTTTTTTTTAACAGTGCTGGGCAGTGGAATCTGGGTGTCTTGCATGCTAGGTGAGTGCTCTCCCATTGAGCTACACCCCCATCTCACTGCCTCTACCTGCTCTACACCCAGGTACTATAAACTCCCTGGCTCTGGGCAGAGCCCTTTTCACTCTATACCACCCTTCCTCCCTCTCTTCGCCTTTTCCACCATCCACAACTCCTCTCGCCTCCTTTGCTTGGGTGCTTATTAGGAGCCAGTGATTTTATAGGCTGTCATTTAATCCCTACAGTCCTTTGAGGAAGGTGATACTGTTAGCCCTCAGTTTCTAGATAGATGAACCAGGAATGAGATCATTCACCTGAGGTCATGTGCCCAGTCACAAGTAAAGCCAGTGTTCAAGGCTGGACCTGCCTGACTACAGAGTCTATGTGAAAAGTAATTTTCTCACCTCTTTGGATGTCTGAGACCCTCGGATCTATGTCACACTGAGAACCCAGGTACCTACTGGACTCTCAGTGGCCCCTGGAGCCAGCAGGAGTAGTTCTTACTCACTCCCCTTTTCCCATCTGGTGGCCCTTCTTGTTATTCCAACTTCCCGGTGCTGCTATTTTGCCACCACGGTCACCTCTCAGGTGGACTGCTTCGAGGACCCCCAGCTCCTGTGCTTGGGCCTGCCCAGCTTCCTCCATCTCACTGCTAGAAAAAAAGACTGCCAACACTTGCACTGCATACCCACCAATAAAAATCACTCACCTAGCCAGGCCTGGTGACACACACCTGAAACCCCAGAATTCTGGGAGGCTGAGGCAGAAGGGCCAGAAGTTCAAGCCCCTGCCTGGGCAATTTAATGACTTAGCAAGACCTTGTCTCAAAATTTGAAAAGGCCCTGATTCAATTTCTAGTACTGGTGACACACACAAAAAAGGGGGGGTCACCTCACATTCTTAACACAAGACTATTTTCTTCAAAATAAAATAAGCAAATATTGATATGCACTGACACATTAACCCTTAGAACATAAGACTGGGTTCAGTGGGCCCATCCCTTTACTGTAAATTTGTGCTTTAGTGTAGTAGTAGCTAGGTGTGCCTCAATATCTTTCCCTGAGGGATACAGGAAGCAATCTGTATGTTTACCTACCTTGATAGGACAAATATCAAAAAGCACACTTGTACACAAAACTGTCAAAACAGGATTTGGACCCAATTTTATGCTCTAAATTGTTTTGCATATGTTCACCCAAGCATCACAGAGGGTCCAACAGACCCACATTACTGTAGGATTAGTTAAAATTTAAAAAGTTTTCTTGTGATTTTTCTGGTGGAACTAATCCAATTCAGAACAATGACATGAAAAACCAGATTTTCAAGTTTTGGAGATTAAACATGAATCATCAGATTACTCATGCATAAATGAAAATGACGGATTATGGTAAAACACATGTTTTCATAACAAGAATAGTGTGGGTGTACAATGACTTTGACATTGGCCATGTGAGCTAAAGTTCCCGTGACAGTGAAATGGAGCAAGAAACAACTGATACACAGGGTATAGAGACCACCTAGATTCACATGAAAAAAGAAAAAACAGCAACGTGAGTACATATTTGAGTAGTCAAAATGTTCTGAAATGGCCACACAACCAAGTGTGTGGCCAATCTAATTAGAAGTAGGTCTGAAAATATAGTGAATGTCTTGGTAGGCGTGAAATGTATTGGACAGAATGCTAGCACTGCCGTTCGATATTGGAAACTAATAGGTGAAATGCTACAAGATGCTATGAAATACACAAGGGCTGGAATGCAAGTAAAATGTTCTGTATGCACTGAGCCATATTCAAAAATGTATTTATTATGATACTTCACTAGCTTGACTGAAAGCATTCATAGGTCTGCTGTACTTAGCACAGATTTCTCATGGTGAGTGCAGGAATATAAAACACTTCTGAGAGAAGTAATAGGTCAAAATATGGTATAAAAATTTATTCCCTTGTAGAGACGACTTACTCTTTTAGACACTTTAGAATTCAGCCATCAGATACTTAATTGGTATAGTGGTAATCCAAATGATGTAATGAACAGACCTGCTGCTTCCATCTCCCAAACTAATTGGAAGGTGACATTTGCTAACAGAGCACAAGTTGACCAGCGCAGGAACTCTACACACCAATAAAGCAGAAATTCCAAATGAAATGCTGCAATTTCAAAACAGACCTGGATAGCACAATTTTTGAATTTCAGAAAGATATAACATTTGCTTCATATATGGCTAAGAAAAGCAAGCTGCTACTGCTGTCAACATTCCACTACGAGGTTAATACTGATAGGGAAATCTTGACAAAACAGAAGCCTGAGACAGAAACTTTCAACAACAAACCCCAACATGGAGTAGATGTTGGTGATGAGTTGTGCAGCAACTGTGATGTCACCTGAAACAGCACTGGCCAACATTTGTATTTTACTTGTCCTAAATGTGTGATATAGTTTGACAGTTTACAAAGAAAATAACAGGCGCCAAGTACCACAGAGAAATTTCCTTAGAGGACTGGGACTGGAGCTCATAAGACATCATAGTCAGCAGTGGAAAAATTAAGTGTTTCTGGCCAGGGAACTATGCAAAAATAAATAAAACCTGAAGCACACTGCTGAGCTGAGGTGAACAGGTAGGCACAGCACGAGTCCAATCTCCAGTTTGATTTCTATTCTAAGCATCCACTACATATTTGATATTATTTTACTGACGTCTTATTCCCCTGCTAAGTGCATGTTTTACAATGTAGTAGAAAGCTCCTGACAAAACAGAGAGGTGACAAGAATGCCATGTAGGAAAGGAAACCTAGATGCACAGGCTGTCAGCGTGACATGGCTGCACAGAACACGTGGTTGTCATGTGTGAAGACTACCTTGGGTGTGGGACTTGAAGCCGAGTTCTTTTTTGTGGTAGAGTTGTTGGTACTCTCATTGGATTTTATATAGGAATTTATTTCTGATGTTATCTTTTAGATTTAGTAAGCAAGGACACAGCTAACATGAAAATGTTGATGTCTATTCTAAATGCACAATACATATGAAGAATTTAATAATTTCTCATTGATATTTTATGTTCCTGTTAACCACACACTAATATAATAACCTCCTGCCAAAACAGCAAGATCAGAGATGTCAATTATGTCCTACAGAAAGACCAGGAAAGCAAAACACATGTGCTGTCAGCCTAAGCAATGCGCGTGTGTGGCGCATGCAGACCACCTTAGGTGTGGTAACTGAAGTGAAGACTATTTTTTTTTGTAGAGTGTTAGTGGTATTTTCATTGTAGTTTCTATAAGAATTTATTTAAGAATTTACCCTAGCCTTGTAAATTTTTTTTTTTTTTTTTTTGGCTTTTTGAGACAGGGTCTCACTATGCAGTTCAGGCTGGCCTTGAGCTCACTTTGTAGCCTAGGCTTGAACTCGAAATGATCCTCCTGCCTCAGCCTCCCAAGTGCTGGAATTACAAGCATGAGCCACCATGCCCAACTATAAATAAATTTTTATAGGAGCTCATAAATAAAGCCAGTTGATGCTGAAAACTTTGATGTTTTATAAACTCAATATTTTTGTAATTTTTTTCCTTTTACATACTCATTTAATAAACTCACAAGATTAAAATTAATAATTCATCAATAGAAACATTATAAAGAATAAATGTGGGTCTGAAAGACCCACGTTTATGTGCCTTGATGACAAAATTAGTCTTATGCTCCAAGGACTACAGCAAGGGTATTTAGGCAAAGCTTATCATTAGTGAGCATGGAAGGAAATCTGTTTTAAGAGCCATCGTGATTTTAAAAAAAGAAACAAGGAAACAAGATGTATTATGTACATGTGCGACACCCTAAAACAATTGCAAAATGCAAGTACTGCAAATGTACTTTTAAAAAATGCCTTCAGTGTTTTCAACTTTTTATTTGTTTTGCTTTGAAATGAGGTCTTGCTGCATTGTCCAGGCTCACTCCTAGGCTTACACAACCTTCCTGCCTTCTCCTGAGTAGCTGAGACTGTATGAGTGGACCACTGCGCCCACTCATTGTCAAATTCTTTTTTTTTTTTTATTTAAGGAGAAAAGAAAAAAAACAGTGAAAGGGTACAAGTTATACAGATTTACAAAAGAAAAAAATGAACAGTAGGAAATCATTAGTTAATGGATTACATATTGCCATCTTAGAAATAATTGTTCAGGTCACAAAATTAAAGCTTGTAGAGTGGATTCTTGTTGAAGCCACACCCCCACCCTGTGAGCCTGCCAGCACCAGAGAGGGCCAGGAGAGTAATACACACACACACACACACAAGCAACCAGCTGATTCAGAGGAATGCTGACTGAGATGATAGCAACTAAAGTAAAGAAACACAACATAAAGCTTGTTATTGTTTGACTCTGCAGGCCTAAAGCCAATGGTCCAAGCAGCTAGAGGATAACAGTATGCAACAGAGTAACTATGGTAGATTCCCTACTGTCTTAGTTTTGATAGCCAATACTGGGTGTCTTCCTTACTTTTCTCTCCTTGAGACAAAATACCCGACACCCAAAATTAGAGAAGGGGTTTATTTAGCTTACAGTTTTTGAGGTTTCAGTCCATGCTCAGTTGGCTCCAAGGCAGGGTGACATGGCTGAGGAGCAACTGTTCATGGTGGCTGCAAGCAGCAAAAGCAAAAGCAACAAGGGAGAAAAGTGTGCCTACACTCCTGCCTTAGGTTGTATGCTGGGTGCAGCACTCACACCACCAATCTCAATGCTATACAACAAACCAACCACAAACGCTAGGTTCAGCCATCCCCATGACTGCATGAGGTTGGGGTGGGCCACAACACTGGGTTCTTGCTGTTTTGTTTCATTTTATTCTGTTTTATTCCCTTAAAAAAAGAAAAGAAAATCTTGTTCATGCTGATCAGCCAGATCACTGTAGTAACTACAAAATACCTCTGGCCCCTGAACTCTGGGTCCACAATAGTCTTGAGATTCATGGTGCCTGTGTATCACCAGCACTTTTTTTTTTCTAAATCCATTTTGTTCAAGGATAAAAAGAAGAGGAGGAGGAAGAGAAAGAAACCTACAACAAAATTTCAAAACACTTCAGTCAGGGGGCAGCATTGGTACATACATTGTGCAGTCATTCATAAATCATTCACTCAGAGTGCAAGACATCTGCATTCAATTATCACCAGTATCTTCTATTGTCTCTTAACAGGAAAGCTCATGTCACTTGTTCATTTGTTTGTTAGTCTACTCACAGGATAAAAGGAGCTGTTGACCTGTTAAATTCAGTCAAACAGCATCATCAGTACCTTCTGGGGCCAGGGGTTATCTAGCTCTCTAGGTAGACAAGTCAGACTCAGGATGGTTCAAAAAAAAGAAAGTGTGCTTATGTTCAGGCACAAATGCTTAAAAAACTGATTCTGAGTACCACCCTGGCCATGGGGACTGACACAGAGGAAGACAAGGCCTCACTATGACTCTATGGATAATTCTTCCACAGGTGAAAAACTAAAATTCTTGGACCAGTCCAGTGAAGAAAGGTAATAAGGTCTTTATTAAAAACTGTTTCACCCAGAGGCAATTAAAATTTATAATTTAAAACCCAGGCCACTACAAAAAAGGGGAGAGGGGCAATAAAAACTGTGCAACATTGACAAAGGACTGAGACAGATAAGGCCAGGAGGGACAGCCCCAGGGCACATTTCTCCTCTCCAAAGGTTGGAGACCAAGTGCAGCAGCGCAGTGGTGCCCTGGATCCACTGGCCTGGCCTGGCCTGGCCCGGTCCAGAGTGTGGGCCTCTCTCCATGGGCAAGCCCAGAGGAAGGGCCCTCAGTAGTGTGTGTTCAGTGTGCAGTCCCGCTCACTGCTACGTGAGGTCAAAAGGAGGCAGCGACTCAGGACCGTCCTGGGCAGGATGGAACACCTCAGTCACCCACCCTGAGCCCAGACACAGTGGTTTCCAGGGTATCTGGAGCATGCGTCAGGGCTGGAGAGGAGGTCCCAGGGCTCTACCCCCTGCCTTCCCAGGGAAACCAGCTGTGCCCAGAGTCCTACCTCCCCCATTGCTGAGGCTGTATCCCACAGCTACCTGGTGAGAACGCCAGTTGCCATAGCCGCTGCTAGGGTTGCAAAGATAGGGAGTCACTGTCCACAGGATGCTCACTGTCCAGGCTCTCTGGGACTCCTGCCAGCCCCTGAGCAACTTACCCTCGGTCTCCCTCCAGTGTGCTCTGGATCTCCTTCAGGACTCCTGCAGGAAGCAGAGACCTGGTGAGGTGAGCCTGGACCAGGCCAGCCACCAGCTCCTCTCCCTTTTACCCACAGGTGCTGGGCGGCTTGTCTCCTGTCTCTGGGTTCTACCCTGGCCTTATAAGCCCCACTCGCCCAAGGAATACCCTTCCCCGCCCTGATGCCAGCCTCCACACGTCCCCCCTGACTCACGCTCATCACTGAGCAGTGCATGCTCCATCACGGGGCCAGGCTTCTTCCCTGGAAGGCAGAGGCCAGGTCAGCCGGGCCCCTGGGCTACACGAAATGCTATTTCTACTCCCAACCCAAACTGTCCCTGCTAACCCAGGACCCCTTTCCTCCCCTTCCAAGTGTGGCCCCAAGAGGCCTAGCTTTACCTTCTCCATCATGCTGGCTCCCCGAGTTTCTGTGGGGGAAGAGATGGTGAGGGCCTGGAGAAGTAGGGAAGTCAAGTGCCCTGACCCACCCTAAGCACGGAATCTGGGGCGCTCTGAAGACTGTTGAGGACTTATGGGTGTGGGGTAGAGCCTGAGGTCACAGGGGAGGGGGCTTGGCCAGTCAGCAGCAGCACCCAGGGTGTCTCACCAAGGGCAGAGTGGGGAGAGGCTGTGGAAAAGCCTACCATTCTCTACCTACCTGGCCCTGCCCACAATCTTCTCAGGGCCAATACTGTCGCCATTATTAGGGTGACTGTGGTTCCTGATTTTGGCTGAATCCACCAGACATCGTGGCTCTACCAGCCACTTGGTGGAAAGAGAAAAGCGCTCAAACTCTGAGGGTGAGATCAGGTAGAAACCTGGGGACAGAAGAAAAGCCCAACAGGTAAGTCTGAGGCTAGGGAGGAGCTTCTCTCCTAAGGGACACTGATCACACTGTAGGGCCAGCCAGCCTGGTGGCGGCTGCCATGTGCAAAGTCCCTCCCCCATATAGACTTGCTTACAAAGGTCCAAGGACAAGCCTGCACACCTTGGCCATATTTGGTGAAGACACAGGATGCAATGCCACTGACGTCCTCTCGGCGAATGCAGCTATATCGAACCTGGGGCTTCAGTAGGGGCAGTGAGACCACCTGGATGTCGCCCAGGTTGGTGAGAACCGCCAGGTGGTGTTCCCCATAATCTTCGGCCTGACAGCTGCCAAAGTGGGCCACACCAACCCGCCGCACACGTGATCCCTCCAAGGCTGTCAGCTTCAGCTTCAGCTTGGCACTCACCTTGGGCAGGGTGAACACCTGGGGACACAGGATAGCTGGTGACACCACAGCCAGGTGTGTTGCAGCCATTGCCACTATGACCCTGCCCTCTGAAACCCTGCTGGGTTTTAGTGCCCCTAGGCTTTCAGATGCTGACACTGCACTTGGGCTGGGAGGACTTGAGGCCACTAACTTCCATGTCTAGAATTCTGTCCCTTCTGTAAACTTGGGCTCCTCCTCCATGTCCCTACCTGTGACTCAGTGGCTCAGGGACCCAACACAAGATGACTCCTCTCTTATGCCTCTGGAGCCCTTCTGATACCAGGTTTGAGCCATCATCATTTGTGCCCAGGGACTAAACACAGCACATATCCCAGAAACCCTGCCACCATCCCTGTGACACCTTGAATTGCTCCTCTGACACCACAAGCAGCTGGTGGCTTCCCTGCATGTCTGGGCTCTTTGACAGGTCATGGGCCACTTCCAGGGGCTCAGGAAGGGGTATGCTGCATCCATCAAGCACCAGGATGCCCACCACAGGTGCTCTGTGCATCAGCTGAATCTCCTTGGCTACAAGAAGGCAGCAGGGGGGCCGAGGCAGGCGGTCAGGCCAAGACACCAACCTGCCTCAGCCCAGGCAGGTCAAGCACCCTCCGCCCACCCAGTCCAGCACTTACCCTGCTCTGCCCATACCGTCTCATCCATTCTTCGCTCGGCAGGGGGCACACGCAAGGAGAAGGCATAGACAGTGCCGCCATTGGTGCCAGCCCACAGTGAGGGGCAGTGGTGGGAGCCTACCAAGAGGCAAAGGTGGGGGCGTCTCATCTCTTGGCTCTGGGAGCCAGGGAAGTTAGACAATCTGGGTTCCCATCCCAACCTTGCCACTCCTCTTTAAGCCTCAGTTTCTGCCACTCTACCATAGACATGCTATGGGCCCTGCCTACTTTCTGGGGAGGATGGGGAAACTCTTGACAGTTACACAGGGTCCCACAAACAGATGATTCTCAATCTAGGACATCTCAGTACTAGCTTCCATATAACAATGGACACATTCACCTAATGGGGAGAAATGGCCAAGGGAAGAACACTTTCATACGTCCACCAGGGACCGTGTCATCCCCAACCCTCATGGTCACTCAAGGAGGAGGAGGTCATTCCCCCATTTCACAGAAGGAAAAGCTGAATTCCATAAAGATGAACTGATATGTCCAAGGCCATCTTCCCAGACAGTGGCAGAGCCTGGATATGAAGCCAGGCAGAAGGACACAGCCAAGCAGGTAGGGGAATCTGATCTACCCCCTGCTCACAGGGTGAAACCCTCTTGGGTTCTAGGAAGCCAGCAGTTCCTACAGGCCCTCATGCCAGGGATACCACATGCCAGAGGTGTCCATATGTTCCCAACCTCAGACTGGCCACTCACTGTCCCTCAGGAAGGTATCAGCGAAGTAGAGTGTCCGAACAAAGCCTGTGAAGGAGTCCTCAGCTGAGCGGGCCTCAATTTTGCGCTGTACGGGCGCCAGCTCCATGTTCTGCAGGCCTGTCTGCTCTGCCTTTGTGCCTGCTGTCTGCATCTGCAGTGAGTTGGGCTGGGGCTAAGGGTAGGTTCAGGTCACCCCTCCCCAAGGAGACTGACTGGTTCAATGCCAGTCCTTCTAGGGAAGGTTGGCCTGGGTGCAAGAGTACCACAACCAAGTAGGAGATGCCCTAGCTGGAAGACTGCCTGCCCTCCCACAGGAAGCAGAGGGAAAATGAGAAAAAAAAACACTAGCATTTCCCGGGGACTTACATTAACATTAAGCATTAACAACTACTTACTACTTAATGCTTAACATTAAGCATTAACAACTACTTACATTAAGTAAGCATTAACAACTATTATCTTTTGCATTTAGGTAAACAAAGACAAAAAAGCAGTGATATATCAAAGGTCACATGGTGAGTACTGAACTGTACTGAACTATTCAGCACCCGTACTTCTAGGCCAGTAAGCCCAGGAGAGAGCTGCATGGTCCTGCCAGTGGCTGCTCTAGGCTTGGCCTAGGCTCAAGGCAGCCTTGGGCCTTACCTCTCCTGGGGTACCACCTGGCGGGCGTTTCCGGCTAGACACTCTGCTGCGGCGCATCCGGCGGAAGGACTGACGCAGGGACTTCTTGAGGGACTTCACGCGGGACAGCGGGCCCTCTAAGGCTAGCTGGTCACTGGGGTGCAGTGTGCACCTGGAGGGGTAGCGGGCCATTAGTGCTGCCAGTGCTGAGGGGCCCTCAGAAGGCCCCAACATCACTCCCTGGCCCCAATTATCTTGCTCACTTAACAAAGACCTGCCGCCTCTGCTGGTAATCAAAGAGCCCGAAGCCATGGCTAGTGCCAAAGGCCACAAGCCTCCACTCAGAGTGCAGAGCCAAGGAGGTAACCACAGCTGGGGGCTGGCACTGCACCAACACAAAGGGCTGGAAGCCAGGCTCAAAGCGCACAGGCCCCAAGCGGGCTGCCAGGCGCTCATGCCCTTTCCAGCGGTAACCCTCCTGGTCCTGCAGCAGGTCGGCCTCCACCTGCTTCACAGCGTGCTCTGCTGCCTCGTCATTCAGCTCCAACAACAGCACCTGGGGTGGGGCGTAGAACAGGAAACGGGGTTTCAGCAAATCCCAGGCACCAGGGAACAACAGACCTGGGACTCAAGCCAAGGCCCACAATCCATGTAGGCAATTCGTTCTGATTTCTAGAGGACAAAGAACCATCCTGGGGCCACCCTCTCCATTCACTGGCCTCCATTCATTGGGAAGAGCAGAGTGACAGGATGTACAGTGGGTTACACTTGTGGCAGGTGCTCAGAGACTGGTTCCTGTCCCTGCTGTTCCCAACCCTGAGAAGGAAGCTCCTGGGTCTGGATGCTGCCTCCAAATCATTCAACCACTGTCCTCTCAGTCCCTACCCTCCCCAGCCTGCTACCTGTCCTGCTGTGCCTGCCACAGCCAGGTAGCCACTGTACTTGCACAAGAAGATCTTCTGGATGCCCAGTCGGGGATCGTCACTGTAGGGGTCAAAGGAGCCCACCTGTGAGGGAAAAGGACCCTGTGAGCAGTCCTGAGCCAGCTCCAGCCTGTCCACACCCCACCCTGTTCCCTGGCTCCTGGCCTCACCTTGCGCAGGGGGGGCCACTCCTCCTCACCCTGGGCGCTGAGGCTCTCGCTGGCATCCGTGTCAGTGAGGAACACCCGCACTGTGCTGAGTCTGTACAACAGCCGCAAGCAGACACCGGAGGCATCCCAAAACCGTACCGTCCCGTCCTCATGCCTGTGGGCACAGCCAGTCTCTCCTATCAGCGCAGTGCCAGCTAGGTACCCAGGGGACTGACACACACACAACTCAAGAGCTCAGCTGCCACCCCATGTCCACCTGGGAAGAGGAAGAGTGCCATCGAAGTCACCTACCCTGTAAGCAGCAGGTCCCTCTGGGGTGGGGATGGGGCCAGGCTGGTGCCACCATCAATGGGCCACTTCTGGAGAAAGAGACAAAAAGTCTGGGAGAGTCTGGCTTCCAGGTGGGCTAGGCTGGGGCTAGCGCCAGGCTGTACCTACCATTGTGGAGAAGTGTACATTCTGCCGGCTGCCGGCGGCAATGATGCGTTCCCACAGCTTCAGGGGGATGTTGGACACATGGTGGGAGCAGGTGATGGCCGAGCAGTGCAGGGAGGCCAGGTAGGGTGGCTGCACTGGGGGCCAGCCTGGTGTCTGCAGGTCAATAACCACTATCTCCTCCTCAGCCAGCACCACGAGGGCGTAGGGGTCATCAAAAGCTAGGGTATAGGCCAAGGGTCAGGCCCAGGAGCAGGAAGTTTGCCCCAGTCTGGCCTTGCAGAATCAAGAGCTCCAGGGTAGGAGCCTGGGAATCTGCATATTCAGATACGCCCTGTTCTTGGATGCATAAGCAAAATCCTCTACCTGGATCCTGGGCTACAGAAAGGGCTGGAAGGCCCAGTCCCCACCAGGAAATGGCCAGCTGAGCACACCTGAACCTCTTCCCTGGTACCTATTCTCTGTACCCAGCCCTGGCTGGCATGTACCTACTGACTGTTCCTGCAGGCAGCGACCGGCAGGGCCCCACTGCTGGGGGGGTGTTCCCATCCCATGCAATTGCCTTACTCGGACCTGGCCATGGTCAGTGCTCAACAGAGTAAGCTGGAACCTGGCTTCACGGCACTTTTCTACCTACCAGGCCACCTACCAGCTCCACCTGGCTGGGCCCTCAAACACCAGCCCAGAGAAGAAACCCAGCTGACACTTCTGCGTGTTCCCAAAGCCTCAGTGGCCTGCACGCACCTCACACACTGGCATGTTCTGCTCCCAGCACCCATGGGTTCTGTCCAGCACAAGTGCTTGAACCAAAAGCCCACTACGACTGTAGCCTGACTGACATAGGTTCTTGCTAAGTTGAGTTACCAGGATAGGCCCAAAATAGTGCGCTCCTACATCAGCCTTCTGGGGACGGGGTTAGGAAGGAAGTGGCTGTGCCCACTTCCTTTCCCTTTGAATCCTCCTCATCAGGCTTTCATCCTCAAGAGTAAGCATTCCTCTAAGTCATCCACAGTCCTGCTGCCATGCATGTGGTGCCACCTGCCTGGGTCCCACACAGCTCACAGGGTCCCTTTGGTGATACTTCTCTCAGATCTTCTGCTGCTCAGTTTCCCTGTCAGATCCCATCAACCTCCATGCCCACATAACTTCAGAGTGGCTGGAGCTGGGTTATTTCAAGGTTGCTCTTCTGTGCCATCTCCTCTACTATTGGGCAGCCTCATGCAGCCAGTATCAGGGCATTTCAGCTACATGGATGACTCCAAATCTCTTCTCTGAACCCAGGCTCACAATTTTAGGCATCTACTCAGTCCCTCCAGCTCAAACCCCACACACACACCTGAAAGCCCGTCTCTTCCCCCGCCTGCTTACAGCTTCTTGAAGCTCTAGCAAATACCTCGCCATCCTTGATTTCCCTGTCTGCCCAGGGCATCTGCCTAGACAAGGGGTTGATGAAGGGCCTCCTGGCCCGATACCTGTTTCTGTCCTGAAGTTGTAGTGGCACCAAGATGAGCCCATGCACTGACACACTGCCTGTGGCTGCCTTGGCTCTGTGATTTGCACTTACCATGGTGGGAAAAACACCTGCTGTCCAGCCCACCTTTACAGATTGACCATCGGTCAAGGCTGGATGTCAGAAACAATGTCCCTAACCCAGCCACGTCCCATAGCCCCATGCTTCTGTCCCAGCTTAGGCCACACTGCTTTCCCACTTGGCTTTGCAGGGTTCCCCTCTATACTATCACACCATATTCCCCACGTGACAGCCAGTTAGATCCTTTTTATTTTTTGAGATAGACTCATTTTGTAGTTTTAGACTGGCCTTGAACTCCAGGGAATCCTCCTGTTTCAGCCTCCTGAACGCTGGAATTCAAGCGTGCACCACTATGCCTGGTTTAGACCCTCCTTAGCAGAGACCAGGCCATGGCCCCTCTATTTGGTGCGCCCATTTCTCTCAAAATACACCCAAAGATCTCACTATGCCTGCACCACGGAACCATATGCTCTGGAGTGTCTGGCATCGTCTCCATGGCCATGCTGTCCTCCACCCCTCCCTCTGCTCACATCTCTCTTGCCAAGAGCTCTTGCAACTCAGTCTCTGCAAAGGCCTTTGTAGGGCCACCCCTGCCCCCGTGTCTAAGGGGCTTGATGACCATCTTGTCTAAATCAGCACTGTCCCCTGACCCCACCTTGGTCTTCTCACCTGGCCTTGGCTTTTTTTAAATTTTTGCCCCTGACATTGCCTGTCACACTGTCTCTCTGCACTTCAAGCCTCACCAGATCAGGGGCTTTGTGTACTCCAGGGCAAGACCTGGCATGCAGTAGTTGCTGACTACACAAGAAAGCCTGCCCAGCACAGGACACAGGAACTCAGGGTGCCCACACTTTGTCTGAGGGGAGCATCCCCCATTACACACCAGTATCCTGACCTGCTAAATATGAGAGCTGGAGACACAAATGTACGGTCACAGGAAGGTGGCCTGCCCTAGAAAATGGTTTTATTTATATTTTTACTATAGTACTGGGGATTGGACCCAGAGCCTTCACACTGAGCTACATCCCAGCCTCCCCTCCCCGACATTTTTTTGAGGCAAGGTCTTGCTAAATTATGGAGTCACCCAGTCTAGGTCTGAACTTTGGATTCTCCTGCCTCAGCCTCCCAGAATGCTGGGATCACCTGTACCTACCACCATCCTTGCCTCCCACTGTTTTGTTTTAACTTTATATGTATTCTTTTCCTCCATTGGTTTACAATATGTAGTTCAGTGAGAGCTTCTCTCCTGCCTCCTCCACCCATGCACTGCAGGGAACCCCAGGCTCCATGCCTACATTGCTCTGACTGTTTAGAGGAAGGCAGCAGTAGAGCCCTGCTTTCAGTACAAGGAGGAAAGCAAGGCCAAGAAAAAAGGGAACAAACAGCTGGCCGGTGCTGCACATCTGTATCCCAGTACTCTCAAGGAAGCTGAGACAGGAGAATCGAAAGTTTGAGTCCTGTCTGGGCAAATAAATAAGACCTTGTTGCAAAATAAAAAATAAAAAGGGTTAGGAAAATATGAACTCCTAGTACTGCAAATTAAAATAAGTAAAATCCGATACACTACAATGGAAAGCCAGGAAGTCTCAGACCAAGCTGTCCTGGGCAGCACTGCCTCCAACCTCTGGTTGTCTTGGCCCAGGCAGGCCTGGGACATTGTCAGAGAATGCTTTTCCAGAAATGGAAATGCTTTTCCCATATGCCTCCTCCCTGGCTTTGGACAACAGCCCTTGCCGGTCTTGCCTGTCACCCACATGGTCACCCTAGCCAGAAGGCGACTTCACCTGTCTACGTCAGGACCCTCTTGCTTGAGTTACGTGTGTGACATCCCCCATGGTGCACAGCGATTGGCCCCTCTAGGCTGAGACCCTCAGACAGCATGGGGCAGACACGAGAAGTGGCTGAAGGATGAAGCTCTGGCTGGGCATCCAGCTAGGGAAGATGGTGAGGGGGAGGAGATGGGGGTGACTGGTGCCACTGGCCTTGGTGGCACTAAGAAGCTGGGCACAAAAGTGCATGTCTATAATCCCAGTACTCTAGGTGGCTGAGGCAGGAGGACTGCAAGTACAAGTCTCAGCCTGAGAAACTTAGCAAGAACTTGTCTCAAAATAAAAAAGTAAATAGATAAAAGGCTGAGGATGTAGCTTAGTGTGAAGATCCTGCTACTGGGTGGAAAGAGAAAAAGGATCCCCAGTATTGAAAAAAACAGAGAGAGAGAAAAGGAAGGGAGGAAGGGATGGAGGGAGAGAGGGAAAGAGGAAAGTCACAGTGAGGCCCGAAGACCCCAAGGCAGCAAGGTCAGGAAAGCCACACAGGGCCCTCTATTTCTGCACTGCTCCATCAGCCCTCACCTCCCACGCCCACTGTGCACACCACTGCCAAGGCTGCCCACCTGCCGCAGGGTCCGCCTCAGCAAGCACAGTGAAGTCAATGACTCGGGAAGTGAAGTCGAAGGCCGTCTGCTGGCTGTCGTGGAATACGGAGATGCAATGGCGGTCCCCGTAGCTGGCCCGCGGCATGCCACCCTGGAAGATGGTGAAGGGCAACCTGCCGGCACAGGAGTACAGTGGGTGGGGGCTCCACATAACCTGAACAGCCACAAGCTGGGCTGGCAGCTGGACTTCTTGGAGCACACGGGGCAGTGCCAGCCTCTGTGGCATGGCTTAGGGTCTGGGGCTCCTAGCACTGGAAAAGATGTCAGCCTCAGGGTGACTGGACCCCCAACTCCTCCTGAATGCCGCAACCCAGGAGAACCTGGGGGAAAGGATGCATCCACCCTGGGGTCCTGAGTCTCTACAGCCACTTCTGCTTTGACATCAGGCCTCCCTGCATGATACTGTCTGAAGAAATGGGACTGCAGTTAAAATACAGCGAAACCCATTGATTGGCAGGGGAGAAAGCAGTGGGAGGAGATTTTGAGGAACTGCTAAGTTATAAATAGCAAGTCTGCCCTTCTCTCCCTTCCTGGGTCCAAGACCCCATGAAAGCATTTACTAGGCACAATCTCCCTGAACAGGAGACTGAGAGATCTCTTTAACCCTCCATGGAAGTTCTGCAAAGCAGAGGAACAAACACTAGTACCTACCCTTGTTTAGTGGTCAGCCAGAAGATTTTGGTAATAGCTTTGCAAGGAAATGGGCCTAAAAAAAAAAAAGTGAATTTGAATGGGTTCCCCACGACCACCCTGCTCCTAGATATGCAACAGTTCCCATGAGCACAACTCCTTCACAACCAGAAAACCCACTGGGAGTTTCAGAACAAGCTCTGGCCCTCTCTGGGCCCAGGTCTGGCTTCTATGGCTGGTCACCCTATGCTCACATCCAGGCAAGACCCAAGGCTCTTCTATGGTGGGAGGGTGGGCAGGGCCCACTGGGCAGGTGGAATACTGACCATAAGGCATGGAGCTGTGCAGGGGCTCTGGCTGCTGGGTGTCACTGGATACAGGCCACTGGCAGTGACTGCCATCGGAGTGGCAAGTGACAATCAGGTGGCCATCCCGCTGCCAGCTGACATTCTCCAGTTGCTTCAGAGCAAAAGAGAGGGAAAAAGAGCATCAGCTTGTGCAGCGCTTCCAGAACCTACATTCCTGCACGGCAGCACAAATTCTATGTGCCCCAAGGGACCTGGTGGAGTCACCATCAGCCACCACCTACCTGGCTGCTGAGGAAATGGCAGAGCACACGGCTGCCCTGCAGGTCCCAGATGATGACCAGGCCCCGACTGTAGCCGATCAGGATCTGGCCGGGGTCTTGAGGGTGTTCCTGCAGAGCCTCTACCATCTCAAACACTCGCCGCTGGCAGGCCTCCTCGGGCAGCCTGTGGACAGAGGAGGCATGAGCCCAAGCACTACCCTCCCACATGGCTGTGGCAGGGCACTGTGGCATATGGCACTTAATGTGCCACACTGGAAAGGTGGCTGGGACATATTGCCATCACAAATGCAATGTGTAAAGCGGGACAGTGACACGTAAAAACCCTCAGGATGAGCCAAGCATGGGATGCACTCCCATGATTTCAGAACTTGGGCAGCTGGGCAGAAGGATGCCCTGAGTTCAAGGCCAGCTTGCACTACAAAGTAAGTTCAAGGCCAGCTGGAACTATACAGCAAGACCCTGTCTCAAAAACTAAGCCAAACCAAATCAACCAACAACAACAAAAAGAAAACCTAGAATATAAGTGCAGGAGGGACAACTATAACAAAAGGCAAGAAAAGAGTCCAGAAAAGTCCCCGTGAGAAGGGAGTCTCAGGGAGGGATCAGGAAGGGCAGGTCTCTTGGGGGTACTGACAGTGAGGTTCGCTCTATCGGAATGTTAAACTATACTTTCACGGTTAGTGATTTCTGTAAACAGGTGGTACTTTATAATAAGGAAGGATCAAGATCTACAAAACAAAATCTGTACGGCTCAGTCTGAGCCTTAATTCTTCTCCTTCTCTGAACCTAGAACGCTAATTCGAAGTCTGGGGGCGCTGCAGCCCACAGAAAACCCTGAGGCACTAGGCATGGAACCAGGACCAACACCAAGAATGCTCAACAAGAGCGGAAACTACGAGTCCATAGGCCTCTACATCACAGCCCAACAAAAGCCCAGGGCTCGGCCCCAGACACCAGATGCGGAGGCACTGACCACTCTGGAGTCAGAATTAGCTTGAGCAGTGAGAATCACAGAGGTCTGTAGCCTCCCTGTAAAGTTCTTTTTTCTTTTATTTCTTTTTTCATTCTTTTGAGGCAGGGTCCTGCTATGTAGTCCAGGCTGGCCTGAACACTCACTTTCTGTCTCAGCTTCCCAAGTGCTTGGATACAGCTGCACACCAACATGCCTGGCATGTAGAGTATTAACTTTTGAAGAGGATTTCAACTCAATGTATTGCTCAATGTGTTACTCATATAACTAAAACTAAATCTCTTAAATTACATGAAAGTGATGCAGGAATCATGTGATTTGAAAAAATGATGTGTGCTAATATTGTTTGGACAATTAAATGCCAATACCTTGTAACTGGTTTTTTTTTTTTACCTTGTAACTAATTTAAAGATAACAATGCACAATGCATTAACCATAGTTACTCTTTAATTACTGTGTTTTGAAATTTTATTTTTTTCTCTTTAAAATTGAAAAAAAAGGGCTGGGGATTTAGCTCAGCAGCACAAGTGCCTGCCTTGCAAGTGCACAGTTGTAAATTCGATCCCCAGTACCAAAAAAAAGAAAAAAGAAAATTGAAAAAAGAAAAACAAAAAAATAACCAAAGAATCATGATTTGAACCCCCCCCCTCAACCCCTGGAAGAATAGGAGACAGAAGATGTGCAGCAGGACCCTGGTGGCTATGTTTTGTCTGCAGGAGACTCCACAGCCAGCTAACGCATTTTTCCCCCATTCATTAAAACACTGGAGTTAAACTGTTACGCAGTTTTTCCCTCTTGCTGTGTAACACAAACTTGCCTCAAACTCTCAGGGACCCTCCTGCCTCAGTCTCCCAAGTGCCGGTACAGCTGTCCACCCATGCCTAGTTTATCTATTTTTCCCACACAAATCGACAGTGGACGTTTCCTCCTATGTTTAAATATTCTTTAAGACATTTTGTTTTGTTTTTGTTTTTTGGAAAGAAGGTCTCGCTCTGTAACTCAGGCTTGTCCCAAATTCACATTGATCCTCCTGCCCGAGTCTCCCAAGGGCTGGGATTACAGGTGTGCACCCCCATATCTGGCATTCTTCAAGATATTCTTAGTGAGCTGGGCGTGGTGGCATATATCTGTAATCTCAGGCCTTAGCAGGGCTGAGGTAGGATGATCAGAAGTTTGAGTCCTGCCTGAACAATTTGGCAAAACCCTGCATCTCATAATAAAAAAATTAAAAAATAACAAAGGCTGGTGATGCAGCTCAGCAGTATACCACCTCCAGATTTAATTCCCAGTATGAAAAAGAAAAGACACTCTTAATGTTAGTGCAAATAATATCTACACAAAGGTAAAAACTGTTAGGCAATTAGATGTTTTCCAACTTTTTGCCATTAAACACACCCTATAGTGATGGTTCTGTGTCTCTGGAGTTCCCCCTTAGGACGATACCTTCTCAGGAGTGAGTCATGAGGACCTGCCATGTTGGACACTTAGGAACTAGGTGAGCACTGTCACAGGGAAAGCTGAGTAAGAACTGGATTGCTAGAGGGGCTCTCAGGCATTCAGGCATCTCTATGACTGGGCTCCAGCCCTCTAACCACAGGTAGGCGTGGCTGAGCCATGGTGCAGCCGACACGCTGAGGGGCAGGGCCCCTGCCATCCTGCCCCCAGACCATGCTCGGGTTAGGCACCACTTGTGCCCACCCCCATCCTACACGCACGCTTCTCTGCTCTGACCTTGGGCTTGCTGCCCCTGCCCTACTCTGTCAAGTGGGAAAGCCATACGGTTTGTACTCGGGGAACACAGCCTCACCCAGGAATCCTCCCAAGACAGCAAAGCGCTGCCCAGACAGGCGAGCCTCCCTTGTGGTCATTCAGAGATGTGGACAGCCTGGCCTGCTAGGACCCAGACCCTAGCCTCCTCCCTTCCCTGTGGAAACATACGACATCCACCCTCTCCCCATCCAGACCCAGTCTGACTCTGCTTTCTGCAGATACCACCACCCAGGAGCAAACCCTCAGGAATGACCTCAGCAAAGCACCAGCCTCATGACTGCCTGGGCTTTACAGTCACACATGTCACACACAAAGGAAAGCTCAGCACAGTGCCCCAGACACAGGCATTGGCAGGAGCAGGCTCACCACTGCAGCACAGCCTCTGAGCTGATGGTCCGGTCCTCCAGCACGCGGAAGCTGGGCAGCTGTACCACGAACACGTTGCCGCTCTCGGTGCCCAGGTAGAGGAGCTCTTGGGAGGAGTGAGGCAGGACCACAGTGATCTGCGTGGCACTGGGGGCAGCCCTGCCAAGGAGGACAGCTGCTCATGAGCTGGGTGCTGCCAGGGATAGGATCCCTCACTCTTGGCTGTCCTTGCTAGCCCAGGGAAGGTCTGGCCTAGGAAATGCAGGCCTTTAATGGGATATAGACCATCTCATGCCATGACAAATACCAGAAATCCTTCGAACAGGGCGTGGGCACTGAAGAGAGGCTGCTGTCCTGCCTCCAGAGCCCAGGGTGCTTGAACATGAGACTCAGTGGCTGAGTCACAGACCAAGCACTGTCCAAGACTCAAGGGAATCTGCAAGGATGAGCCCACCTGAGTTGAGACATACAGGAAGGAGACATTGTCTTACCCTGGGGGGCCACGCAGAGTGAAGCTCTCATCCTCCTGCAGCTCTGACACTCCGCCCTTGACCTTCAGGCTCCACAAATGCAGACTGTTGTCATCCAGCAGGGTGACCAGCTTGCACTAGGGAGGAAACAGGGGCAGGGGACAGGAACACGCTGGCTTGTTAAAAAAGCAGGCCTCGGGGGCTGGAGATTTAGCTCAGTGGCATAAGCACCTGCCTTGCAAGCAGGTGGTCGTGAGTTCAATCCCCGGTACCGATAAAAAGTTTAAAAAAAAAAAAAAAAAAAAAGCAGGCCTCTGCGCACCAGGGTGGTTCAGCCTGGTACAGTTGTATCAAAGAGCCCAGGACTTAAAAGTTCCCAGCAACTCTGGGTGGGCTGTGGGCCCCCAGCCGGCCCCAGGACCACCCCTCTCACATCAACCCACCCTTCATGGAAGATGTGAAGAGGCCCTGTTATGGATTAAAAACTGGTGGTCAATTTAATGCCAGCTAGATTACATCAGCATGGCATTGAGCGAAGATGCTCCACCTGAGGAAAGTTGCCAGGATAAATAGGTGAAGGGTTGAGGCGTTAAGGAGGCATTGTGGGTTCTCCTACGAGTTGCTGTCTGAGCTGTTGGTTCTCCTGGAGAAGCTCTGGTCCTCACATTGAGCATTATCCTGGCTCTGGAGAGGAAGACGTGCTGCTTGGTCTCCAGGATGAACTTGTCACGCTGCTTCCTGGCACGTACCAGACTGTGCTTGTCGTTGGAGAAGCTCGGGGTTTCCGTGTTGCTGAGGACAGCTGTGGTGCCTTTCAGGATAGCCCTGGTCTTTGTTGTGTGTGTGACTTCTTGGCTCCAGCGTAGAACCCTCATCCCACTAGCACAGCTCCTTCACTCTGCTGGCATAGACTTTCTGGCTTCTACCACTGACCCTTGGGTCTTACCGGCACGGATCCATAAAAGAAACTGGCGTGAGTCCTTCTTGTGGGCTCTGGACCTCCAGCTGGACTCATGGAGGCATTGTCCTGAGCTCTGGATTTTTATCTGGACTCTTGTGGGACATTGCTATGGGGTTTAGGCTCTTGACTACATAATCTATGTCTTTGGTGTTGTGGATAGATTTCCTGCATTTTCCTGTGTTAACTCCTGGTGATCATTATAAAAATATTATAAACTTCATGTCCTAATCCTAGTTGTTCTCTATGTACAACCCCTGACTACAACAGCCCTGTCCCTCCTGCTTCCCTCCCCAAGCCAGGCCTCACCTGGCCAGGCAGGAAGTGGATCTGTACCACAGCGTTGTTCTCCCGATGAAGTCCCATGAACTCCACTCCAGGAGCACCGTAGCTTAGGAGGAGCTCAGGAAAACCTCTGAATGCTGGACACTAGCCCTCACCACCCTGAACAGCAGACCTTCTGACCCAAGTGGCCAGGAGTAGAAGTGCACAAAAGGGTTTCCATTCCCACAGACACAGGGTATCAGCTCTGGGGCCTGGGGTGCAGAAGAGACAGCAGTGGCCCTGGCCAGGTGTACTCAGCCAGTGACTTGACCCAGGACAAATGTCTCAGCCAGGCAGCTGGGAGGCAGCTCCGCAGAGAGTGAAGCCGTATGGTGGTGACTCTTAGGTACCCCCTCTGTTCCCTCCAGTCATCCCCTCCCCCCAGTGAGCTGCAGCAGCCCATCAACTAGCACAGGGGGCACCTATGAGAAGATGCAGACTGTGGGGCTGGGCCCTCCACCAGCATGACCTGTGGGGCCTGGCATGAGGGACTGGTAACCAGGATATGGCTGAGACCTGGCAATGATTAACCAGCTGGGAGAAGGCTGAACGACAACAGGACCTGGGCCTCTGCTGCTAGGTATACAGCAGATCAGCAACCTAGAAGCCTCAGCTGCTCCCCAACATCTGGTGACAGAGAAGCAGGACAGAACTGGGGCTTTGCTGCAGGAGGTGCTGCTGAGTAATCCAAGGTGGCCCCGAGCTCCCAACTTCACTGGGCCTCATTGTAGCTCACCTAGGAGTATGGGACAGACTGAGTGGGTTTCAAGACTCAAACCTCAGAAAAAGTCCAAATTAAAATGGGTATGGTAGCACACATCCATAATTTCAGCATTCAGGAAACTGGCAGGAGGATCACTGCAAGTTTGAGGCCAGTCTGAGCTCCATAATGAGTTCAAAGCCAGATTGAACTGCATAGCAAGACCCTATCTCAAAAACAAAAAGAAAAGACAAAAAAAAAATTTTTTTAAAGGGTTGGAAAGCCCAGTGTGGTGGCATATACCCAGAATCCCAGCACTCAGGAGGCTGAGGCAGGAGGATTGCTAGGAGTTCAAAGCCAGCCTAGGCTCCACAGTGAGTTCAAGGCCAGCCTAACCTGCATTGCAAGACCATCTTGGAAAAAAAAAAAAAAAAAGCAAAAATAAAACAATAAAAACCTTAAAATTAAAATAGGGCCGGGAATGTAGGTCAGTGGGAAGGTCCTGGGATAATGCTTAGTAGAACAAAACAAATAAACTAAAACAACAGGTATTAGGGCCCCATACCGTCAGGGCAGAAAGAAAAGGTGCTGAAGCCAGGCCACTGTCCTCCTAGAAAAGTGGCTGGCTACAAGAAAGCTCCTGCTCTGCCTGCTACAGAAACTCCCAGCTATAGATGACAAAGAGGCCCCTCCCCCTCAGTCTCAAGCCCACCATCTCCTCTCCAGAAAGGCCAGATGAACAACCCCTCTGACTATACTGTCCCCAGCCCAACGAAATCACTTTCACTGCCAGAAGTCAAGTAAGTCCTGCTGTCATCCCAACAGCCTAAGACCCAGGGAGGACAAGATGGAAAGGATACAGCTTGATGGCTCCAGAGCGTGTGCCGATGGCCAGGATGCGCAGGGAGGGGCTGTAGCCCAGGGCACTGGGCTGGTGCGGGAAGCCATGCTCCACAGTCTGCAAGGACAGCCAGCCATGTGGGTCAAAGCTACAGGCGTGTCCTGAGGACCTGTGGAGACTGTGCTTCCCTGTAGCTGAGCCCAGTGCTGGACAGACCAGTGGCAGACGGAGGAGCCAACCCAGTTTGGCTATGGTGTCATAGCCAAACTCAGACCCACCCATTCGCACCCCTGCAGCCCTGTTTGGAGCCCAGCCCTGGCCACATAGCCATCGCCATGAGTTCATGGTCCAGGAACGACGCCGGGCAGCAGTACAACTCTTTCCCTGTAGCCGGGGAGGCACTGGGCCACTGTAGGAGACCCTAGTCCTTCAGGAAAGAAACTGGTGGCCCCACAGCTCCAGGATGCCCCCATGGATTAAAGGCACCTTGGTGTCCCAATCCAGCTGGGGACTGGCCAAGGTCCCCACCTCTAGTCAGCTCTACCCCAAGGGCCCTGGTCACTCAATCCTCAATCATCTTTCCCACTGAGGAAACTTCTGGAGCACTGCTGCAGGCACATGCATCTGTTCAGTTTTTTTCTCCCCCCCCCCCTTTGGCACTGGGGATCAAACTCATAACCTCATGCTTGCTAGACAAGTGCTTATTCCACTGAGCTAAAACCCTAATCCCTAGCCCCTCAGTTGAGTTCTTATTACAGAAGTAACTACACTGCACAAAGCTTGGAATGTACAGAAAACCCAATTGGAAGTAGCCTTTGCTAACTTCAGAGTGTGTATCTTTTGTGTCTTTTCTGTGTCTGTGAGTGGTGTATGTATTTGTACATACATACTTTTTTTTTGGTTCTGGGAACTGAAGGCAAGACCTTGTGCTTGCCAGGCAGGTGCTTAGGCCACTAAGCTATATCCCCAGCCCTGTTTTCTTTCTTTCTCTCTTTCTTTCTTTTTTTTTTTTTGAGTACTGTAAATAAAACCCAGGGCCTTTTAACATGCCAAGGAAATGCTCTTCCACTAAGCTTATACCCCAGCACCATCTCCCTTTTTGATACAGGGACTTAAGTTGCTAAATTGCCTAGGCTAGGCTGAAACTTAGGATCTTGCCTCGGCCTCCTGAACAGCTGGGATCTGCATGTGCACCACACTTTACTCATTTATTTTTTTAATTAGTGGTATTTTATTGTTTTCCCTTGGGCATTGTTTTTTTGTTTTTTCTTGTGCTGGCAATCAAACAGGGCCTTGTGCACGTTAGGGAAACACTCCACCGAGCCACCTCAGCCTGTGTGTGTTCACTTAGAAACAGATCTCACACACAGACACACGGACACACGCACACACACACCCTGGCACATTCCTATGAGTTTGTAACCTGTTTCCTACTCAAACCTACCTGGTTGTTAAAAGTTCTCAAACAAGGGGTTGGGGATTTAGCTCAGCGGCAGTCTGAGTTCGATCCCGCTACAGATAAAAAGACAAAAAAAAAAAGTTCTCAGACAACTTTTAGACAATGAGAGGTGGCACTGCCTTGCTCACCAGGCCTCTGTCATTGAATGTTCAGTCTGGTTCTCTAGTCTTTGTAATCGCCAGCAACACTGACAAATCTTTCTCGGTCGCCAGTCCTTGCCTGCGACGCTGGGTATTTTCTGAGGCACATGCCCCAGGGAAGAAACTTCAGGGTGAAAAGTTAAAATGCATGAATATAAACACCACTGATTCAGACGGGCAAACCACCTTTGGAAAGGTTTTCCTTTTTCTTTTTTTTTTTTCTTGGTGGCACAAGGATTGAATCCAAAGGCTTTGGACTGAGCTACATCTCCAGTCCAAAATTTTTTTCTTTTTACTTTTGAGATAGGGTATCATTAAGCTGCCTAACTGCCCAAGCTGGACTCTAATTTAGTATCCTCCTGCCTCAGCCTCCCACACTGCGGGATTACAGGCAAGTGCCACCACACCTGGCTGAGGTTCTGCTATTTAGTCAGCTACCCTACAAGCACCCCGGGGGACAGTAATACTGCCAAACTAGGTTTGAGCAGAGCATGCAGTGACAAGCAGTTGCTTTACAGATTTTTTTTTTCTCCGTTTTTCAAACATGGAGACTGCCCTGCTGCAATGAGGCACCTTCTCTAGGCCCAGAGCTCTCCTTACAGCTGTATTTAGCCATCTTGTCAGGTCTCCAAGCAGCAGAGAAAGATAAGCCCTTGGTGACAGCAGCTATGATAGCTTAGCAAACTCCACAGCTGCTCACCTCCCGCCAGCCCAGTCGGTCAGTGGTTCACAGGAGGAGGCCCATGCAGGGTTGAGCCGGGACTCCAGGGCTGAATGGAACAGAGGAGGTGGGGTCAGGAATACAATCTGCCCTGCAACTGGCTGACTACCTGGGTGGGACAGCCAGGAGGGACCTGTGGGGATAAAAGCCCCCAAGGCTGCCCAGTCTCCATCCAGCTATGTAAAAAATGCAAAGCTTGGACAAGCCCTGGGTAGATAGCTGAGTGTCTGGAATGTAAACATTCCCCAGAAAAAAAGGGCAAGAAATGGATAAGCTACTACATGATACAAGCTCCCTGGGGGCCCAGCTGGGCCTCCACCAGCCCCAGGTTACAGGGGCCTCAGGAAGTAAGCCATGGTGCACAGGAGGTTCCCTGGACAAGTAGCATTTTGCCCTGAGCAGCCACAGCTCAGGGTAAAAGCCTCTGGAATTTGGAATCTGGAATCTGGAATCTGGAGGGCCCTTGGGAACTTATCCTTGGAAGCTGGGTGACCAGCCCCCACACCTTGAGCTGCCCAGAACAGCAACCCTGAAACAAAGCATTTGCAGTGTGGTCAGTCCCCCCAAGGAGCAGGTTTTCACATTTTTCCTCATTTCAATTAATTTACATTTTAAAAGGGACGTTCCATTCAGTTATTGGACAACTTCCAAGTGTGTCTAGCACAAGAGGAGTTCCAAAAGAACAGGGGCTAGACTCAGGCAAACTAATCTCAAATCCCCTTTTTGGATTGTAAATCTTCTGAATTCTAAATAGAGTGTGTCAGAATTGAGATGTGCTAGCAGTGTAAAATATACACATAGTTTGAAGACTTTGCAATTTTTTAAAAAGCCAAATAGCAAAGAATATAATAGTATTTTGTATTGCCTATATGTCAAAACAATATTATTTTAAATGAGATATGTGTGGGGGCATAATCCCCACTACTTGGGAGGCTGAGGCAGGAGGACTATAAGTCTGAGGCCAGCGTGGGCAACTTAGATTCTGTAAAGTAGAATTCTAAAAATAACTGGGGATACAGATTAGTGGAACAGCTTGCCCAGCATTGCACCTGAGTCCCTAGTACCACACACACACACACACACACACACACACACACACAAGTATATATTGGATTAAAGATGATTTATTATTAAAATTAATTTCAATTGTTTAATATATTTTATAGTGCAGCTTCTAGAAAATTTAAAATTATATATGTAGCTTAGTTCAGGTATGGTGGTACACACTTGCAATCTCAGTACCTGGAAGGCTAAAATACGAGGATCGCTTCAATTTCAGGGACAGCCTGGACCACACAGTGAGTTCAAGATTAGCCTGAACTACACGGCCAAACCCTGTCTCAAAAAACAAAAAAGACCAGATGTGGTGGTGCATTCCCATAATCCCAGCATTCAGGAGGCTGAGGCAAGAGGATAACCATGAGTTCAAGGCCAGCCTGGGCTACACAGTGAGTTCAATGTCAGCCTGAACTATGTAGCAAGACAGTGTCAAAAAAACAAACAAAACCAGACCACACACACACACACACACACACACACACACACACTCTTATATTCCTATTGGACCAGTGTCTCAAGTCATAGGCAAGAAAATGAAGCCAAATAAGAACAGGTCTGCAGTTTCTGTTGGGCTCTCAGGCCACGCATTATCCCATCAACTCCCAGCAGTCCTAACATCTCATCTAAGTTCCTCCTGCTGCACAGCAGCTTCTTTAAGCCAGAAGACAAGGAGTTTGGGCCCGTCCTCCAGTCACCCACACTGATTCTTCATGTCCTGCAGGGTCTGGGGCTACTGTGGCCCCCCTCCCTCCCATCTCCACCTTCTGGCTACAGCCCAGAACAGGCCCTTCTGCCTTGAGATGGCCTCCGTGCTTAGCAAGCACTTCAAGCTACTTTGGCTTTGAGCCCATGCTCTACCTGGAGCGGAACACCAAGAGACAGCCCAGGAGCCTCAGCCTGCCCACCAAGTTTCTCATCTTTGGTTCTTTTTTGTTGCTATTGTTTTGTTTTTACTGTTTTAAGACAAGGTTTCTCTATGCAGTTTAGGCTGGACTTGAACTTCCTTTTGCAACCCAGCCTGGCCTCAAACTCGCAGTAACCCTCCTACCTCAGCCTCCAGAGTGCTCCAAGGTGCTCATCTTTCTATCAGATCCCTTCTAGCTCCTGAGGGACCAAGGCCATATGAGTGTGATACAAGTGCAGTAAACTCCATAGTAACTCGTTGGACAGGGCCTGAGTGAGGGGGTTCAAATGTAAATAATGCGGCTTTCCGGGAATTCCCCAGGCCAGGCATGCAAATAAGACCCACAGATTCCCAAGGAGTTGACTGGGTGAGCAGCAGAGCCAGGCAGAAGTGTGAGCCAGCTGGGCAGGGAGGTCTACAGGCCCAGGGAGTCTTGCTAGGATTGGGGAAAAGGGGATGTGAATTTGGAAAGAAGTGGTCCATTGATCAAAGTGAAGGGAGGAGCCAGAAACCAACCCTGGGGCAGGCAGGTGGGTGTGTCTACAGGAAACCAGGGAAAGGAAGGTACGAGACCCCACCAGCCCCAGCCCTGGCTTGGGCCTGGATGTCTCAGAACGCTGAACCTCAGGACTCTGCTACAGTCCTTGCTGTTCCTCCCCAACACTTAACTCTTTTAAACCTTGGCATCACTGAAAGAACCATGAGGTGGACAGCATGCATGGTGGTGCGTGCCTGTAATCCCAGCATTTGGGAGGCTGAGGCAGGAGGATCACTGTGAGTTCAAGGCCAGGCTGGGATACACAGTGAGTTTATAAGCCAGCCTTAATTACACAG